TCCAAGCCATGCTCCTGTAGGTTCTCTTCTGCCAGTGCTGGTGCTCAGCTGGTGCCCTGGGTGTTGGTTCAAGGAACCATACTAGCAGAAAACAGATCCCTGAAAAGTGAATTGCTTTTTCCAGGATTTTTCAGCGACTGCAGCGCTAATGTGAGGAAAGCTAAATGAGTGTAGAACTACTCCTTTGGCAGGGGCTAGCTGTAGGACAGACTGAGTTGTAGTGCTGAGCTGCTCCTTTGGGCTCAATTTTCACCATCAGCTCTGCAGGCTGCTGTTCACCCAGGGGTCCTACCCTGCCTTGCACCCTTGGCTGGAGGCTCCCATCGCAGAGAGGGCCAGGACAGCCCAGCAGAAAGCTCATCCAGCAGAGAAACAGAATGTCCCTTCCAGCCTGTCCCACCAAATGGACCTGCATTTGGCAGTATGAAGACCATTGCCCTTCTGATGGAGCACAGCTCACCTCCAGTGCACAGAGACAAACACATTCTGGAAGAAGCTGCAGTGGATTGTGAAACATCAGCTGTGAGATACAGCATGTGAGATCTTAGATCAGTTCTTTGAGTCCAGGGCCTTGTGGAGAAAGAGGAGCCTAAGGGTGAAAAAATACTGATGAAAGCAAATAGCTATTTTCTTGGTATTTGGACTTCCTTCTGGACCTCACCCACTTGCCCCAAGGTTTGCCAACAGTGGAAGTTCCCCCAGTACACGATGCTTTAATATTCAAATGGCAGTGTCTGGTACACTGACTATTTCCAAGCAGAGCCCTCCAGTTGCTTACTCATTTTGTGAGGGCCGGGTACTTGCATGGGTTTTACAGCCTCAAATATTTAAGAAGGTAGGTAATGTGATGGGAATGCAAGAGAAAAGAGAGAAGATAAAGCCTCCCTGGCTGAGCATGTGCATGTACAAGGTGATGGGAAGAATGGTATTGGGCACATACACACTGTGCCAGCTCTTCCCTTTACCTGAGGGGTTGTGCTCTGCACAGATTCTGTCTCTGGCCAGTACCTTAGTTGCTGAATAGGGAGATAAATGCAAGTAGGATGGAAATTGCTTGGCTGAGCAGCAGAGGAGTGGTGGATGGATCAGCTAGCAGAAAACATGGCAGGAAAGAGGCGATTCCTGGGGAAACCCATTTTCCATTTAAGACAGATTAGCCCAGGTTTGGGGTAAAGGGGAGAGGAGCTCCCCCATCCCAAAATACTAAGAGAAGAGGGAAAGGAAAATTTGTTGACAGGGTGTAATTCTACAGCATAAGCAGGGATAGTTTCTAAATATGAGAGAGAACCAGTTCAAACTGGTTTAACAGAAACTCTATGCACCAAAAACCTCTAGCGAGGACATTAGAATAAAATCATTGCATCCTTGCCGGCAGCTCCTGTCTGCTCGCCTACAGAGCTGCATGGTCCATGCAATGACCCCACAGCTCCCCAGAGCTGCTGAGACTCCTCAAGTGTGTCACAAATGCCCCTTCATCCTCTAATGTAGATTTACAGGGAAGGGTTGTATGGTGAAGCTCGAGAGACAGAGCTACCAGCTTCCAAATTTGATGACAGTCTATTAAAAGAGCTGTTTTGGCTTGTTTTGGTTTTAATGAAGGTTCTACTGCCTGAACTCCTCTGATTACTGGGAAAAAGTCTCTTATTTCTTTCAAAATATAGTGTGTATGTTGGTGAGAGCAGTAGAAGTCATCAAGAGAAATCTGGGAAAGTGATCCAAATAGCTAAAGAAAAAGAGTGCCCTAGTGTGTTTTTTTTTAAAGTCTCACTGACAAGTGTTTGGGGCTGGACTGGTAACCACAATATCTGAGGCTTCCTCTGTGTAACCCATACAAAACCAAAGGGAAGTAAACCCAGGGCTGAGAACACTCACAAGAGGTGTGGGAGACCCTAAGTCAATTTTCTGTTCTTCTGAAGGCTTTACCACCTCTCCCCTGTCTTGCAGGAGGATATGATGCTTTGAGACTTGAGGGAGCCTGGTAATACAGACCATACCATTAGACCATAATATAGATGGGGAGGAAGGGAACAGGACCTCGCATCTTATGGAGCTCACAGAGGCTCACATCTCACACCTCAGCACCACCTCCAGCAATGCACCATGTCTTTGCTGCTTTGAGAGTACAGCATCCAAGGCAACACCAAGAGGGATATTAAGTTATTGCTGGCCCCCTCTTGTGGACGTCTCAAAAGGAGCTCCAAAGCACCCTGGGCAGCTGCTCTAGCATACCCCATACTGAATAAAAAATGCAGCAGTGCAGCCCAGAGCTCGTGGAGTCTTGGGGCCCGTGGGGATGCAGATGAGGGAGGGAAGGGCTCCCACAATGCCTACATGAGAGGGACACTATCGTTTCATTTAAAGAAGAGTTTCTGGCTGGGGGAGTCCCAGCAGCTCAAATTTCTGGACCAGTGTTTTGCTTCAACTGCTCACAAATATGTTTTAACAATCCTGAAACAGGTGCTATGTGGGTCAGGTGTGTCAGGGCAGAGAACAAAGACACAGGCTCTTTGTATGCACTGAGACTTGTGGAAAAATTCCCTTCTTATCGGAGCGCGTGGCTGGCTCCAGCAGGGCTCCTCTTCCTCTGCATTTCCCATCAGCTGCTCGATGTAATTTTGTGTATCCTCTCATGTAGGCTGGCTCTGGGCAACTTGGAGAAGATGGCAATTAAACATTGGGTGGCCTCTGCAAAATCTTCTAAAGCTGTTACGGGAACTGATGGTTGGTTTCAAAACTCCTGACACAGCTGGAGATGAGGACATCTTGAAGAGGCAAGTATTGAATAAGGGCCACACAAACCCTGTCACACCTCATGTGGCACCTTGCCCAGGAAACGCTTACTGGTCAGTCAGGTTTCCTTGCAGAAAGGTTCCTGCCCTGATAGGTGCTGCAAAAGAGATCAGAGCTGCTAGAATTTCTAGAGGTCACTGTATTTCTCTGTGACCACAAGCTATTACAATAACATGCAGTTCTGTTCTTGATAATCAAGGGACAGTATTTCCAATTTCTCTCTCCATTTTGCCAAGGCGGAAAAAAAAAATAAATAAAGAATATCTGAGAAGTTTTCACAGGCTATTTCTCACACAGGTGCTATTTTAGTCAGCAAGGTTTGCTTACCACATGGTGGACTAGACTTTGAATCTGCATTTAGGGGCTCACAGCACACTGCAGGAGCACGTCTGGTCATTCCTAATGCTTGAAGTAAGGTGGGCAGAAACGAGATTCAAGATTGTGCTTGCACACAAAACTGTTCTTTCTTTCCCCCAGCTTTAGAGCTCTTTTTAGCCAGAATGAAGAGTTTGGTCTCAAAACCAAAATGATTTCTTCCTTAGGCAATAAATTAGGCCTGAGGGCTAAAGTAACTTATCAGAAAATTCCACCCCACTGCGGCTTTTGTGTGTGGAAGAGTATTCTGGCCTGCCACTGTGGAGCCATCCCTTGCTGTATCAGGGAAGCTGCTGCATTTGTTTGCAGAGCCACTGTGCCCAGGGAAGCCAGAGACACACATGTTTAGCTGTGAGCTAATGCTTCCTGCATCCAGGCCAGTAAGCCACACAAACCCTGTGAGGTCCCCTTCAGCCTGCTGGGATAATCTCAGCCAAAAGCTCAGGCAAATCCTCCTTCCTGACAGCCAAAGCATGGTGACTAAACAGCTTTGCTGGTCAGGAAGGGCAGAGAGGTTCCATAGTTATCCTTCTGCAGAGGTGGACACCACCAACAGGCAGAAGGACAATGCAAAGGGGCAGTAGTTTCCCTTCAGTGAGGCAGCAGCTCCTGGGGCCTGGCAGGAGCCTGGCTTCTCAAGGCTTGCAAACAACCCTCTGGAAAACATTGACCTCGGTGGGGAAGGCATTGTCTGTGTACACTGCAAGGCCAAGGGGCAGGTCCTGACCTCAGAGTTTGTTCTTGCCTGTGCAATAAGGCAGTGAGGCAGTCTCCACTCACCGTCGGGGCCCCTGGGGAGCGGGATTCTCATTCTGCAGTTTCAAACTCTGGGCTCATGTTCCCATCTGCAAATTTCCAAGAGCTGAGCTTTCCTGGGAAGCAGGAGCCCCTGTGTCAGGGGGGTTCAGGGGCTGAAGGCAGGTGGGACTCGGGATGTGTGGGCCCGGAAGCCACACGGGGCAGGCCTCAGGCCGGAGCTGCGGCCTCCGGCAGGGCTGTGTCCGGCACCGGGACACAAAGGTGTGGTGCAAGTGAAAGAGGCCATGAAGCACGCACCCACCTCTCTCCCGAGGCTGTCAAGAGAAGCAGTCGCGGTTTCAGGCGGCACTCCCAGGCCAGGGGTCACTGCTGGGAGGGGAGCAGTGGCCCCATCGGCCGAGCTGAGCTGGGCTCATGGGAGCTGCTCCTGGAGCAGCACTTCAGGGGACAGGAAGAATAGTATCTACACTTACACCTGTAAGTAGCTGGAGACGGCAGAGTGGGAGAGCTGCTGTAGTGTGTGGTCATGCCAGAGCAAAGCCTACAGCCCAGAGCAGAGTGTGCAGACAATGTGTTCCTGCTGCAGGGCCAGCCAGGGTGGCCAGCTCAGTGGTGCTGGGCAGGTCCGCCCAGCTGCCGCACAAACCCACTGCCAATTAGCCAGTTACATTTAGCTGACTTTACATCGCAGTTCTTGAGTGATCACCAGCCTGAAGACACAGTTAGAGCAACTCCTGTTTGAAGACTAGTGTCTGCTTTTAGTTTCAGACCTAAAGCCCAAACCAGTCTGACCAGCTGGAACCCAGTTTCAGGTTACACCCTGCCTTGCTCTCTGGGTGACTTGGTGGGTAATAATCTTTCTCCCAGAACACCTCATGCAGTAGTTTCCTCTTCAGGTCTCCACATATGTGGCATCCCCCGCTTCCAGCCCTCCCCACGCCATGGGACCGCTGCTGCAGCAGCTCTCCTGAGATAAGGCAGTCGGGGCAGATGAAAGGCTGCAAGATAGCAGGCATGGGAACGGTACCTGCCCCCTCTGCAGGTCACTGCTCCTCAGACACCACTCCCAAGCCAGATAAGACAAACATCTCCTTTTTATTATCAGAGTGAGCACACAAAAAAATAAATCAAGACATTAGGTTTATTGCATAGGCCATGACAGGCTGTGGGAAAAAACAAAGAGATGGAAGAAATGATATGAGACATATCACGAAAAGGAGGAATCTGACTCAGGTACGCTGAGGCAGATGCCTGTGATGGGGAGAGACATGCAGACTCTGGGCAGCAGTTTCTTTCCTTTCAGCCCAGCCATCAGCCCAAAGAGGCAGTTCTCCTGCCACTGCCCTCGAGAGGACCTGAGCAGTGTCCTGAGCTAGGAATGGCTTCATCAGAGCATTCCAGAACCACTCTGCCCTTGGCCTTGAAAGAGTTCAAGCATTTAAACTGAAGTCTGTACATAGATTTATGCTTCTTACACAAACACACACACACACACACACACACACACACACACAGGTTTCCTCTCCACAGCAGTTTTCCAAGAGCAGCAGGCACTGGAAGTTTAGGGATTGGTGCCAGCCCCACACATGTCAGCACATCAGGCCCTTCACAAATAGCTTCTGCCTCAACAGAAATCTTCAGCTCAGAGGTACAAGCATGGACCAGCAGATGCTACAGGACAGAGCCTGGAAGAATCTCACTGCAAGGGGACTACAGGAGAACATACAGGACCAGGACTGGGACCAAGACATTGCCAAAGTGGGGATATCATGCGCTGCCTTGGGGCCAGAGATGAGCTTTGGACCTCCCGAAGCTAGGCTGGCCTCATCTTGCATCAGGAGAGATGAGCCAGCAGGAACAAGGAAGCCTGTGGACACTAGCTGGTGGTATCCAGCCCACTCCTGTGCTCTAGGAGATGCCAGAGACTCAGGTCACGCCGTGTGCTCTGAGGAACGTGCAGTAAAATCAAAGCTGCAGCTTTCCTGCACAATCAGCAGGAAAAGTATGGACGTTTACTTCATGCGAGAACATATTTTCTCAATGTGTTTGGGCTCAGTCTGAACACTGGGAAAGCAACTAGGGCAATTCACAGAGAAAAATGGTGAACACGTATTGTACACAGGAGACTGAAACACAGCAGCCAGCCACCAAAAGGTCTAGGTGTGCTTTTCTGTTAAAAAACAAAGCCTAGTGACTTAAGCAGGTATTTCTGTTTCTGTCCATGTTGAAAACAGGAACTGCCTGAGAGTGTCACAGAGCCCTTGGATCAGGTCTGAATGAATATGTGAATTCCACAGACCTCAAGAGATGCATCACAACCAGGTAGACTGCTGCAAGGCAGGGCACCTTGCAGAGGACTTTGAGAAGGGGAGGAAAATACAAGGTTAAGTGGCAGAAAGTGACACTGAAAACAAATTGCTGGTTCTGGTGAGCTTGCACCATTCACCAACATGAATGCTACCCAGATGCAGTTCCAGGTTCCTTCAGGAAGTTGAGCAAAGTTGTGCTCCAGGTTTGAGGAGGAAAAAGACGTAATTCAGAGTTTCACTGGATTGTTTGAGGTTAGGAACGGATGGATATCAGAGAGCAACAGAACGCTCCCAGTTCCTCACTTTCCAGAGCAGCCATTTAGCCTAGACAATCACAAATACTAGTACTGCCAAATCACAGTTAAATCTCGGCCTGATGCTCCAAATGTCTTCACTGAGAATGAGTCCTTCAGGCACAGACCTGTGTCTAAAAACAGAACTCCAGATGTTTTGGGGAGTGCCCCAGTGCTGAGCTGGAGGGAGAGGCTGTAGGTCAGACTGGTTTGGTGGCACTGCTGTAGAATAGATGCTCAGTGTCCTCTGTAGTGGAGAGGGTTGAGTTGGTAGCGGTGGGAGGCTGACGGCGGCGGCCGTTTTTCTTCCTTTTCTTCAGGAAGAAGTAGCCAATGAACACCAGGACCACCATGATGCAGATCCCGAGGAGCACAGCAATGACTACCTCAAAGGCACCTGCAGGAATACATGAACATGTTATAAGGGATGCTCTACAAACTCTGATGCACATGAGTGGCCAGGGTAAAGCAAGCACAAAAGCCGCTGCAGAAATTGTGCTGGCAAAGAGAAGAGGCAACAGCTGGCCTGACAGCAGGGTGGTCACTGCACAGCCAACAAAGAAAGATGGCAATGCATGGCACGGCCAGCCTGTCTCTCCCAAATGATACTTCCCATCATTTCCCAGATGCACCACGCCCTCTAAAGGCTGTTCCGTGACTTTGGCAGGCTTGGCTATTTGACAATCCTAGGAATATCAAATCCTTCTGCAACAGCAGCCTTGTGTCATACCTCAACAGGGAGGCCACCAAAGGGTGGTCACAGAAGGCACCTCCTGGCTGGGACAACACTGATGGAGTGAGCTATGGAGGACAGGCCATCCTAACTTTGTGGGAAAGTACTCTTGGCACTGGTGTGAGCACTTGTTCTCCAACCAACCAAACCCCTGCATCATCAGTGGAGACAGTCAAACATGAAGCATTTGAGAGACAGTGTCAATTTAAACATTAAGTCAATCTCTAGGATTTAAGAGCAATAATCTTCATGTGATATTTTAAAAAGAATTTGTATTTCAATAGCGTTAGGCTTTTTTAGTGTTGTAGAGTGGTTGTATAGGGTCATCACACTTCCCCACAGTCTAGCACTTGATATTATTCACATATCCACTTGAGCTTTCTTTCTTGTAGAAGTTCGTAGTCCTTATATGAAATTGGCCCCTAGGAAGAGATTTACTTCCCATTTTTTGATGTTGAACAGTGGAACATTCATGCAAGTTGATGAAAAGAAAAACAGGACTCTCTGTATGAGCTACCGAGTCACAGACACAGGAAAAAATGGGCCACAGATGCACAGTGCACAGAAGCATCTCCTGCCACTGCCAGCATCCCACAAATCCCACACTGCTCCCTCAGCTTCAAAAGGGGTGTGGGAGAGAAGGCTACTCCTGCAAGGAAATACAATGAATTTTTCAGGACAAGGAAAAGCAACAAGAAAGACTGGTTGGGAAAATTGTTACTCACTTAACATAGCAGTTTGGGACTCAAATGATTCCCATCTTCGGCCAATGACATCTGCTTCTAAATTTGGAACACAGAGAGGGGGGGGAAAAATGTTTTACAAAGAAGGTTGTGAACAGGGGATAAGACATGTTTCTCAGGAGAGTATTTCCAGTGCTCTGAAGTGACTGAGTGCACACAGCATCCCTTCTCCACAGCCATGGTACTCAGCTCTCAGGGCAGGCTGTGAGGTCCAGCGTAGCTGAGAGAAGTAGTTTGCATCTTAACAAATACAGTTTGGCAGAATTCTTCCTGTTGGCCTCCAAAGCAATACATACCAAGTGTACAGTGTAACACTTTTCATTTTTTGTTTAAAACTTCAGGCTACTATGTGTCATGGAGAATTTCCTCAATTACTCCCCTCTCACTTGGGGAGACCTGGAGCCAAGCTAGGAGGTTAGATTCTCTTCAAAGCAGATATATCTCTGGTTAGTTTTGTCATCCTCCTTTGTCTCTTTTTCAAAATCAGCACCCAAAATGCTTTCCAGCTCTGTGAAATGACAGGCTGCATTGCAGAAAGATGCTGTAATCCACCATCCCCCATATGCCATACTGTGGGTCATGGCCAGCGTTTGCCAGCAGAGCAGCTTTGACTGAAAGCTCCCAAGACACTGCCTCTTTGGGACCACAGAACCTAATCTGAAGTGTTTTTCCCAGTTTGATCAGTAAAACTCCAGCCCTCACTATGTATGCTTGCTTACTTGTGATGCCTGAACATGATTTCATGCACTCTTCCTCTTGTTCAAAGTTGTTACTGTTGCCACCACAGCCGCCATAGGTGAAGGGGTCGCATTTCTCCAAGAATGGGTTATAGTACCAGCGGGGGATGCTCTCGGAGCACTGTCCAGTATCAGGCAAGTCCACACAGTGGCCTGGCAAAGCAAGGCAGAGGTGCTTTAGCTCAAGCAGTGTCTTCCCAGAGCAGCAAAATTTTCTGCTCACAGCAAAAGAGCACAAGCACGATGGCAGAGGAAATCCATAGCCAGAACAGTGTCTCTCAGGTCCCCAGTGCTCACTTGCCAGCTGGTCAAATTGGCAATGCCAAGGCGAGCTGGCACCTGCCATAAATCCAACTAGCAAGCAGAAAAAAGAACATCAGAGCGTGCAGTCATGGTAAACCTTGGATGCACTCCCCTGTGGAAATGACCTGTCCTCCCTGGGAGGCAGAAGGGAACATGAAGAGCCTGGACACACAGAAACGACATATCAGCTCAGGTCTCCTCTACAACAGAGCTGCATTTAAGTGACTTGGAACATACTCTTTTAGCCCAGTGATAGGTCCACTGTCTACAGTGTAACAAACAAGGCAAAGATGTGGGATTGAGCACAGACATTGCTGTGTCCCCCCCACTACTTTGGTTTGCACTACTTCCAAAAAAAACGTGCTGCAGGGTTTTGTACAGGCCAGGTACTGTGCCCAGCAACCAACATGCATGAGACCTACCTGTATGGAAAAAGTTTAGGCAGGAGAGTGAAAGCCTGCTGTCAACAGCTGTCCTCAAGGCCAGAGAACAGGCCCTTGCTCATTTTCAGTACAGGGACTATCCAGATGCTACACCTGGTTTTGGATTTATAGAGGGAAGCAGATTTACCACGGAACAACAAACAGAAGAAAAAGCCAAAAGCTGGCAGAGGTCAGCCTAGGTGCTCTGGATGGTACATACCTTGCTTATGTGTGACATTGATTTTCTGCAGTCTATTGAACTCACGGGCATCTGCAAGGGAAACATTTTCTGTTAAAACTTCTCTCACCAGTTGAAAAGAAATGCCTCTGTCCATGCATACATGGGCAGACAGGGCTTTCCTGCACATTCCTTTGCTATCACAAGCCAGAAGAAGCAAGATATCATTTGATGTTCTTATGTATCTCAAAGCTATGAGAGGAACATGGGAAAAATAAAATGTAGTAACAAGGAACTCTTCCCAATTTCCAATCCACAGATATAGAGACAAAACTAAGGAAAAAAAAGGCCGCTTTCTCATTTTTGTTTTCCATCAAGAAGTATGGGAAAAGTCACTCCAGGTTTTAAGAAATATAAAAGAGCACTAGTGCAGAATGTAAGAGAGGGCAAGAGAGATGAAGCATAGGCTTGCAAATCTAAAAAGGCAACAAACAAAAAACACCCACACATAGGAAAGAGATGATAGGAATTCAGAAGAGGTGGAGGGACAGAAGAAGGGAGGAGATAGGGTGGATTTGGGCATCTCAGCACTGTGCATTTACATTAGCATAAAAGGATATTAAGGGAACTGTGCCACTGGACAGACTTGGAGAAACAGTGGTTTCCTTCCCCATTTAGCAACTCTAAGAGAGCAGGTAAGGTCATTCAGTGAGAAAAATATTGAAAGGGGACAGAAAGATAGGCCTGAAGTCTTACAGATAAGTGCAGAGAAGAGAGTCAAAGCATATTTAAGAGGCATGAAGGTCACACAGAAGGAAGGTCATCTCTTGCAGTCAGCAGAGGTACAGGAAATGGCAGAACCTGTGTGATACTGTGGAAAGAGATAATGCAGGGTCAGGAGTAAGAACAGAAGACACCAAAAGTACTGACTAAGCACCAGTAACTTACATTGGACCCATTCCTGAGCAGATGGTAAAGTTGTCTGAGCCAGAATTTAAAGTACTTACATTGTTCACAGTACAACTCATCCGATTCATCAGCACAGTCGGGAGTTTCATCACACTCTAGATAGGCATCAATGCAGCAACCATCCTTGCATCTGAAGAAGGGGGCCTGACAGTTCCCATTGCATACTGCATCAGAAACAGTTCAGATAGCTCATTAAAATTCATTGTTCCTCCCTGTCAGATGCTTTACGAAGGACTTAAAAGCTGCTGATAGGGCTGGCAAACAAGAAACAAGGCAGATTGGTAAAGATCTCTCCTCAGTGACACCCTAGACTCAAAAAAGAAAAAAAAAATCCTGTTTATAAAGGAAACACTGCTCTGGAAACAGCCATGTTTCCTCTCAGAAAGAAGTATTTAGCAGGTGGAAGCAAGAATGAGCTACTCAGGAAGAATATGGAGATATTGCCCAAGGATGGGGGATTAAACTAGGAAAGCCAAACTGAAACCTGCACACTGGGCTGCAAGAGCTTCACACCTCTTTGCTCTAGAGGTGGTCCCAAGTGCTGAGTACTGTGCCCAGTTCTGAGCTCCCCAGTGACAAAAAACATTGGCATACAAGAGTAATCTCAGCAAGAGCCTGGAGCACAAGGCTCTCCTACCATGAGGAAAAGACAGAAATTATAAAAGAGACATTCATTTTGGAGCACAGCAATAGGATGAGTAGCAACAGACAGGAGTTGAAACAAGGGAAAGCAATTCAATATAAGGGGAAAAAATTACCATGAGAGTCATCAAACACTGGCACATTTTGACCAGACAAAATCTCCTTTTTCAGAGATACCCAAAACTGAACTGCATACAGTGCTGAGCAACCTAGTGTGACTCAAAGCTGGACCTGCTTTCAATAGTGGGTTGGATCAGATGACCTCTAGAGGTAATCCCCAATCTAAATTATCCTATGACATGAAAGTGAATGGCTTAGTAAAGAAATTAGTCTCCAGTGCTCCACTTTCCACACTGAGTCCTAATCAAAAGCCACAGGAATGGACATGAGACACTCAGCCCAACCTTGCAGTAGGATTACACTGTCCTATGGGAGGCTCACCTGGCTGTTGTCGCCCACCAACAGAACCTGAAGAGACAAGGGGAAAAATAAAATAAAATAAATTTACCACCAGAGCATTTTGTCAACTTTAGATCAGCTTTATATTGCCTTCATGTATCACATGAGAAGAGCGGATTTTTCTGGAAGGAGGCCCTGGATAACAGAGGTGAAATATGGATGCCCACAACTCAGAGATCCAGATGAGTTGTACCCACATGAGACAGGCCTGGAGGAGCACAGAGGAATTTCCCACCACAAGCTAGACCATTTCCAAATTGTCTTTCTTTTCCAAAGGTTTAACCTCCTTAAGCTGTCCACTGCAATGGGCCTGCAGCCCATTTGTCTGAGCAGCACTAAATTGTTCTCAGTGGCTTGAGGGTGCCAAGGAGGGAGATTAATTTGATTCTGGGAGTGAAGCACTTCTGACCCCCAATTGCACAATGCTGCTCTCTGAATTTAGGTTTCAGATGTGACACAAAGATTTGGTGAGGGCTTCTGCAGCCAGAGGAATGCCAGAGAACTGTCCAGTGCTTTAGGAGCTGGTCAGATACGTTGGCAGTACGACAATGATTGCCCATCCATAAGTAGCCCAGTTTCCTCAGCTTACTGGGCTCTAACTAGGTGTCAGCCAAGAGGCTGCAGTACTTGTCCATAGGGTCATCCCAATCATATGAGAAAAAGGGGGCTGGATTTCTGAAGGACTCACCTCTGACATTCTTGCAGGCGAGTTCACACTCCTCTTCCCGTAAATAGTTATTCTTGTTGGGCTTGCAGCCACCAAAAATGAACTCCTCACACTGCTGAAGGCTCGGGTTGTAAAACCAGCGTGGAAAAGATCCCCGACACCAACCCACCTTTTTTGGAGTCAAACAATGCTCTGTCAAGAAAGTTAACAGCAAAGGGTCTGGGTTAGATTAAGTCCTTTGGAAGACTTTCTGTTTTGTATATGTGAAGGCAAACAAAATCTTCCAAAGGACATGTCTGAAAGGTTTATAAAGTCTTGACCAACATGGAGAAGGAGAGTAGGGAATCATGGAATTAATTTTTTTATATGAAAGGGAGGGTCACAAAACCAAATTAGAAGGTGCCGCATCCATAAAACAAAAGGAGCTGCATCTCCACACAGCACATAGTTAAGCTGTGAAACTCCTTGCTTCAGGAGGTTGCTGCTTTTCAAAGATTACATGAGGTCAAAAAGAGACTCATACATGGTTATTAAACACAAAGACACCATCTTCTGCTTAAAAAAAAATCTCCCAGCTGAAAAATCCTAGGGGATTAGTCAAGCATAGTAGAGATTTACCGATAGCACGTCAGGTTCTTGCACTCTTTCCAAAGAAAGCGTAAATCTCTACTATGCTTGACCAACCTCTGCACACTGTTGAATGTGGGGTATTGGAGCTTGGTCAGACCTTTACCATCACTTGATGTTTTTTATGGTACCTGAGGAAGGAGAAGACATCCCTTGCTTAGCTACTAGTCAACCATTTGTCCAAGAACTCCTTACTCCTAATACACTCATAATGCCAAAGATTTTCATCATTAAACAAAGCCATTAAAGAAAAAAAATATAAAGCCAGGGATACATCGAATGTCTTGCAGATGACTCCACCTACCCTGCAACCTAAGTGCCTTCACAGCAAAACCACAGAGTCAACAAGACCTTTCACGTTCTCCTCTTTTGCAACCTCAGTTGCACCCTGAGCTGTCACCCAGCAGACAGCAATGACAGGCAGAGCAGATGGGATTATTGCAGGCACCATCTCCTGCAAGGGTACGTGAAAACCCCAAAATAGATCACTGAATGCAGGGACCTCGCACTACTGGTGCAGGCTATTGCTGGGAAAAGCTGACACTCAAGTCCAGGCTCTTGGTTGTGCTGTTCTCCCATCTATGCCTCTGAGAAGAGCACCAATAATGCTAGAACAGCTCGATGACTCCAGGTAGGTATATGTGGGCTCAGGCTCACCTTCTGTCTGCTCAGAACTCAACACCACAATGGTGATGTTGGTGAAGTCTTGCTGTTGTGCAGTGTCTGTGACAGTGAGCTGGAAGACGTAAGTTCCCACCTGGAGGTTGGAGATTTCTACATCATCTTCGTGCTTCTGAGAATGCAAAAGAAAGGCTTATGTAAGAGAAAAGTACTTCTAAGGAAGGAGTGACTGAAGGTATGCAAGGTGCATGTTCCTGCATTAGGGAGAAAGAAACTTAGATGGAAACCTTCAAGCAGATGTCAGGCAAGAAAAATGTCTCAATGCTAGACAATTCCCACAAACCCATAGACTGGTACCCAGCTGGAAGAGAAAGAGAACAAGTATCACAAGCATAATTAGATTTTTCATCTAATTTTGGGGCATTGTGAAAGCACAAGAGAAAATAAAACTCTTTGGAGAGGACAGAAATACCTGTAGTGTTTACATTACTTTTTAAAACTTAAAACCTATTATGAATCATTTACTTAGTACTTACCTTAGGGAAGTTATACCTTAGGGAATAAGGTAGCTGAATTATTTTGTCAGAAGAGAAAGCTACAATATTACTGACACAAACTTGTCTTCTATATTTACAACAGAATTTGACCTTCATTTCCATGCTACCTCTGGTTTTGATTAGATTTCAAAAGAACACAGCCTTGCCATATATAATTTTTATGTAGTTAATACAGCAAAATATTAGGGGACCTCCCCCCTCCCCAGAAGTTGCATTGGTTGGGCCAGGGCAAATGGAAAAGGAAAGGAGCACTTGATGAATTACAGAGTCCCCTTGGTCCTCTAAACTTTGTCACTGCTGATGTTCTAAATCAGTTGTTGGCCTGATGTACTCATTTGCTAATTCTTTCAAAAGGTGCTGCAAGAACTCCGTATCAACCCCATGGCTTTCCAAAGCATTTTGCAGAAATTTAAAAGAAATAATTTGCCCTTCCAAAGCCACAATTCACTTTTAACATCTAGCAAATAGGCTGTGTTCACACCCCAGAGATCTTGGATCCCGACAGGAGTCATGAGTTCAGCTCCAGCTCAGATAAAATAGGAGGAAGAACTTAACGCTTCAAAGAGAAGCAAGGTCCAGGAAAAGCCCCAGGAGAACAGAAACAGAGCTTGAGACTGGATTGTTCAGAGACAGAAGAGGAAATGCACCGAGGTGGACAGAGTAAAACTAAGTGAAGGCCCTTCACTGAACTACAGGATCTTGGGACCAGAGGCAGCTCTTGCATGGAAGCTCTGCTCTGTCAGCTGCTCCCACCCAGGCAGGTCAGGTGCTGCTCAGGAAGGCTTGTGATAGCACTCTGTGCAGGGAGCCTGAGACCTAATGAGGTCAAAAATGACACTTCTAAGTAGTGTGTGAGAGAGGGGGACAACCACAAGGAGTGCTCTATAGTTTTTGGGAGCAGGCTTAAAGAGGGAAGGACAAGGTGACCTTTAAGTCAGAGCTCTGACTGGCCAGCCCAGTGCAGACCACAGGTGCCACTGAGCAAGCTGCTTATTCCCTGCAGCTCCCTACCTTCATCTCTGCAGAGGGGTTACCCAGGATCTGTTTCCATTCATAGCTGACTATCCCATGGTCATCCGTGCTCTCTGTGCCTCTCAGCATCACTGGCTCTCCCGGCTGTACCCTCATGTCCTTGACAGCACGGGCTATTGGAGGGTGGTCATCTGCAGAAGAAATGTAGAACAAGGCCTGGGTAAGAGGCTGAAGGGTCTAGTCCTTGTCTCCATTACAGGAAGAAAAGGGAAGGGGATTCTTCCAGGCTAAATCAATCAGACTTCAACGGCTGAAAGGAAAACACTTTTATACAGCTGTGCTCCTTGCAGCCTGAGCAATAGGCAATCAGTACCATTTTTACTGCCCTCACTAATTTAGTATGCCCACAACCCACTATGGCAGTCTCTTTGAGACAGCTGGCTCCATAGGCACTTCTGTCCCTATGAACCACCATAAGAATGTGGCCCTGTGGCTACGGCCACTGTGCTTCTGAGAGTGGGACCACATCCTCACAGAACAGCACAGAGCAATGTCTTCCCTTCACTTAGGGAAACAGCCTAATGTGAGTGCTGAAGAATGTGGAACCGACTCTCATCATTCTTACCACTATCTCTAAGCACTACGTCAGTGTATTTAGCCAGGGCTACACAATGTGGGACTTGGATGGGAAGTATTTCTCTTCCAGCTCATCTTCCACCCCATGATCTGACATACATGCCTTTAAAACAGCACAGAAACACCATTCATGAGGTCATTGATTTTGTACCATTCCGTGGATTAGCTTATCAGCAATTTCCACAATCTATTAAATGTTTTCTCAGACCGTAAGTACAAGAGATGAAAACTGATCCCTGCCCGTGACAGCAAGAACAGCCTATACAATGACACCACTGAGCCTGACTCGTAACTCCTTTTGGCCTGAATGTCTCTGATCACAAGCTTTCTGCATAGCTCACAGCCTGTAAAACTCCACCTGGTATCACCTGTAACAAGTCCAAGACTCAGTGCTCCAGCTCAGCCTGAGTCTTTTGTAAAGGCACCAACCATCATTCATAAGCTAGACAGAAATCACCCTGCCATTACATTGTTATATCGACTGTGACTGAAGGAGAGGATCAGTGTCCAAACCCCTTAGAAAATTACTCCATTAGCTGATTATTTTCACTGTTGCAGACTTGCTCCTGATTTCCTGTTTGAATCCTGTATATCTGGATTCAGATCCCAGCTGCTGACTCTTGCTGCAGTCTGCTGAAGGGACATTTAATACAACGCATATGAACAAACAAACGTGACGTTAAAACAGGCCACTTAGTTATTCTGTCACCCTGTACACACTGCTGCAAGCTCTGGAAAGGGGACACATTCCTGACATTCCTGCTAGGCAAACACCAGGAGCCTGGCAGGGAGAAAGGCAGCCTACTCCCTGCCACCATCCTGCCAGGGTGAGCCCAGTAGGTGGGTGCAATTGCACAAGGAAAAGACCAGTTTTTCAACAACACAGAGGCTGATCCTTAATTCGTGACTCAAAATCATGTTTTTCCTTGACATTTTGAAGCATGTACACTTTAAACAAAAAAATTACAGGCCAAACATCCAGTTACTTTGGGTTGTGGGTTGCATGATCAAGTAAAAGCTCAGTTCTATTCAATGGGTCAGCAGCTTCTCCAGTTCCCATCTCTGATTAGCCAAATTTACTGACTCGCCTCACATCCAGAAGAGTCGTTAAGAGTATTTCCTTATTTGTGGTGACTGCTAAGGAGTAATGCTCACTAGAAATTAAGGACTTGTTTTTCAAGTCTACTCCTTTTCTCCTTAAGCCGTCTGAAAGTTGAGCGACTTTGGAGTATTTCTGCCACACTGACCGTATGAAGCCTTCCCTGGCAACGTGGCTGTTTTCCACCTGAGCTTCAGAACCAAGCACTGACTGACCTAGAGTGAGTATCAGCAAGCTGCTCGTACAACGGAGACTCCACTCTGTTTTGCTCTGAAAAATGAAAGTTACCTTTGCTATAATGCTCCTTCGACCACAGAAGGTTTCTGCTGTAAAACTCTGTAATTAACAGGGAGGTTAAAGCTTTATGATGCTGTCTGTGGCATGCTCTTTACTGTGAAACATACTCCTGGAGTCACATTGTAAGTGACAATTTCCACTCCCATTTATATAACACATCAGTAGGGGATGCATCTTTCCTTTATGATTCCAGAGGAAAGCTCCATAGAGGAAACCCAAATTGCTTTAAAAAGTTTTATTACTCACACTGTATTCACACCTGAGACCCTGATTTTCACTTTTAAAAAATTTCTTGGTGTTTTAAAGCTCGTGCAGTCAGTGGCTGTCTGGCTTCACCTCTGATGACCTAACTTGATTAGGTGTGGATTAGGTGTGGATTAGTGTGACCACTTGATGTGGTTTGACCACAACCAAAATTGATGGGGGAACAGGAATTTAAAAGGTAATAAAATTTTCACAAGTGCTTCAAAAGTAAGCATCTAAGTAGGGGGAGAGACCCCACTAGGGACCTTGCTATGCAAACCTGCAGGCACTGCAGGTTCAATCTGGCATTGAAGTCCCATGGCAGAATGTACTTGCATAGCTCACAGTTTGGAGGTTTTGCTCTTCTGGAACTCAGAATAGCTTCTGCCCTTGAGATCTACAGAAAACCAGATTTCCTCCATTCCAGAGCCCATGCAGATACACCCTGCATAGCTGAGACTACAAAGCAATGCTTAAAAATACCTCAGAATGATTTGAAGTTGTCACTAGAAAGAGCTGGAAAGCTTTCTTGTGGTGACTGAGGGGCCCTTACAGCCCATCACTGATTGCCTTTGCAGAAGCAACTTGCAAGCGTGGCTTGCATTGGGAACACTGAGGCACCAGGAAGGGATAGACCTCACAGGGGACAAAAGCCACTGCTCAAAGCCACTGACCAGGCCAGGAACAGAGACAGAAACAAAAATAAGGCCATCCAAGTTCCACCTATGAGACACAGGACCGTGGAGATTTCAAGCATCAGCAGCCAGCAAAACCTGTCTGCTGCAAAAGCAGGAGGGCAGCAGTGTGGCTCTTCCCACAAATGCTAAAGTTCTGCTCCTGCATTGCTTCCAGGGAAGTCATTCGACAGTGAACAGTTTCCTCACCCATCCACACTAGAAAACTCTCCATTTCCATGGGCAGAGGTAATGAAGCATGCCGCCACAGCATTAATTTGCCTAAGGTGGAAAGAGAGAAAAGGGAACAAGGCAACAAAATGCAGTGCCTGGAGAAAGAGAAATACAGGCTCTTACTTTAGGGCTTCATTCTGGCTGGGCAGCAAGTACAATCATGATAAAGCCATGCAGTTTTCTAACAACTCATGCACAGCCAAGCAGCTCTCAGCATTAGTTTCTAGAGGTTTTTGTAGCGGTTTGTAAGTGGTGCACACAGCAGGTCAACCTAACCTCTCTTAAAACAATACAGTATGACTGAATGGACTATATTTTCAGAATAAGTTAAGATGCTGCTGCCACTAGGTTCCCTCCATCCTTCCTCAGAATGTGGGAAACCAGTCCAATTTGCTTTAGCAGGCAGAGGGAAAGACTCTCCCACAGGTGTTTATGCCATTTTAGTAAAGATTGGTTTGTACCTCCAGTCTCTTTGAGGAAACTGGAGCTCCGGAGACAGGACATGATGTAGCCACTTCAGTAAATGCTGCATGACAAACACTAATTTCACAGCAAAAGGAGTGGAAGCCCCTCATCACCCACTCTGAGCAGGGAGCTGGACCAGCTGGTCTGCCAGGACTCTTCCAGTACACATTAGCCTCTGAATCTGTGCTGTGGGTACTGACTGTGCAACTTCCCATCTCCTGGCCTCAGCTTAAGGATGAGCAGCTGGCTCAGGCCTCAGCAGCATCGGCCAAAGGGGGACCTGTCCCAGCCCCAGTGCTGCTCATTTTGGTTGCCCACAGAATGGACACCAGTGTGGGACCAAGCATTTGAGGAGGCATGAGCTTCACTCTTGGGGAGCTCTCCTTTCAGAAAGCATTACCAAAGTTTTAGCCTGCAAATCCCCCTCCATGGTGAGGCAGGAACAGACATATCTGATCAGAACCCTGTGGCTCCCAAGCACTTCCAGTCTCCCACTCACAAGCCCTGGATTCAACAGGAGTAGGAGAGTGTCACTGAGCATTTCACAAGAACCACAAAAGGTTTAGTTCAAGAAATGGACAAAGGTTCAGGGAGGTTATTTTCCAGTTTCACACCCAAAACTGGTTTGCCTAGACCAGAATAAGCTGGGCTAGTTACTTAAACACTGGGCTCCATTATAACCAATAAAGTTCATGGTGAGCCTGCCCCTCCCGGATGAGCCAGGCAGAAAACTCGCACCAAAGTTCAGGCTGAGGAATCATTTAAGCAGATTGTGCCTTTTAACAATAACATCAGAGACTTCAGGCTGTACATTAGCTAAAACAGATAAGAGACAGTGCCAAGCTGTCTTCACCAACTTACAAAGAACTCAGAAGCTCTTGTTCTGCACAATACTGAAAATATATTCAGAAGATGTGCAGAACCCAGATTTCAGCTGTACTCGTTTCCTGTACCCACAGGTTTTTCTGAGCTCATAACACTGTAAGAGTGGCCACAGTGGATTACAGCAGGTACCTCTGTCCCTGTGCTCAGCTGCCAACAGTCTCGCTGTGGATGCTTGAATGAGGGCAAGAGCACTGCAAGAATATGTTCTCCCAGCTTTCAGCTACTTCCATCAGGCTCCAGAAACACTCCAAGATTAAATTTGTCCATTCATCAGTTGAGTGCTCTCTTTCAAGTGTTACCTAGTCTCCTCCTAAAGATACATAAACCTCTAAATTCAACAGGTCTGTTCCCTGTAGTAGCAGTAGTGGGTCCTACAACGTGTGACTTTTTTGTTTAATGTCACCCACTGGGATCACCAACTGGATATTTCATTATTCACTAGAAAAAACATACATTTAATTCTTATGATTGCAGAGGGTGTTGGAAGAGTGATACAGGTAAAGGCTCCTAGGACACCTGACAGCAGCACCTACAAGGAAATGAAAAGAAAGGAATGCATGATAAAGCAGCAGATATGCTTCCTGCAGACCCTTAGGGCCAGAATCTGAGGGCTGACAGTAACCTGGGATCCAGAGTAGTCACAAAACTTCACCTTTTAGCAGTGATAGAGCACAACAGCAGGAAAAATAGTTTTGTCTCCAGTCCAAAACCTGGGCCAAGATTTTGGGAGGAAGACCTGACATGCCAAAACCAGCTTCCTTCAATGCTTGTTTCACCTGACCTTTTCAGGCATCCCTACAAGGTCCCAAACCAAAATGCTGTAGCTTCCTTATGCTGCCAGGTGGACACAGTGCCCAGAGACTCCTTCACCTGGCCTCCTGCACCTGCCCCATTGTGCCCTTCGCCTTTTCCCCCCTCAGTGACAGCCAGGCATCCATCTTCCTGTCCAGACCTGCATGGACCCAATTCCAGAATCACGGCTGGAGGGGCTTGGGGTTCTGGTTTGGGTTTTTTTTGTTTGTATCTGAATCAAAACGGACATTTGCATTCTTAAGTGTCTCATCAACTTCTGTGGGGAGGAGGACTCAGCTATTTCTGCAGTAAGATAACTCCCTTGGTCTCTTTCCCCTGCTAGCCCTCCAGTGTCATCCAAGATGATTCAGCAAGCTTTTGGTATTGAATGCCTAAAAATTTCAGAGAGGAGTGGAACGCATTTCCCATCAAAGCACAGCACAAGCATTGCAGCATGATCCAAATACACAGCAGTGAGCTGCCCAGCATCTGTCACCACAGCTGGGGACCTGCCTGGCACCCAGCACCCTCCAAAGGACAAACAGGCTGTAGAAGAGACCGAGCCCTTCCTACACCCACAGCAGTCCGAGGCACAAACCCCATGTGAGGAGAGGCACTGCTGCCTCCAGGCAGAGTAATCTGAACTGCATTTCTGGAGTGCTTTTCACTTCTCACTGATAAGCCCTCCTGGGTCTTCCTGCTCTGCCACAGCCATCCCAGGATCGGTGAAAGGAGCGCTAGGGACGGATTGCAAGACTGCATATTGGTGGCTGGGATGCTGCAGCTAGGCACCGTATTTTAGCAAACAAGTCACTGCTGGTCACACAGACAGGCTGGTGATCCTGGGACACTTTCTAAGGGTCCACGCACATGGAATGCCAGACCCTGGGACCAGTCAAGGGACGAGGGGCTTACAGTCTTCTTGTATGAGGCACTGCTCCACAGAGGTAAAGAGGCTGAATTGCTCAACAATACATTGTATTTTAATCTAATCTTGTGAAATCAGGATGTAGTGGAGATGATGCATTCCCTTTTCCTCCTATAACTAAGCATATAGGAGTTTAGACAGCTGCCAGCATGCCACCTCCGGTCTTGGGGATGTGGCCTTCAGTTCCTCCCTAACTGCAGCTCCCGTGAAAAGGACTTTGAGCCTGGAAGGGAGACGAGGGAGAACTAGTGAAACAGCGAGACACTTTTACCAAAAGGCCCTAAAATCCATTAGGAAGCCATAAGTATGGACAGAGGACCAGGAAGACCATTTCTGCCGCACTGCTGTTCAAACCAGCAACACCCAAGGGTTGCTTCAGAGAAGTTGTGCCCTGCTCCAAACCCCTCACACTGCTACTCAGGATGGAGAAGTGGTCATTGTGGAGTTTGGAGCCATTTCCCACCTCCAGCACCCACACGGCCTCAGGCTGGCACATCCCAGCAGAAAACCAAAGATCTATTCAGCTCACGTCATCAAGCGCCCACCTAGATGCTCCCCTTGCCATCTTCACAGATCCTTTCCTTCCCACAGGTGGGCTGGGAGGGGGTGTGAGGAGGATTACCCACTGAGATATGCCCTAACAGCCCTGCCCAGGGATCAACAAATGATGAACTGGTTATGGTTGCCAAAGACCCAGCCAGGCTAGAAACATGCCAGCCTTATCAGGCTTCAACCAAAACACAGAAGGAGGGAGCAAAAGGAGGAACTGCTGTGTTTTTAGTGTTTCTGAGCACACTGCAATTCTTTGGAGATAGCAGGTGGCCATCTTCAGATTAGTTCATTTTCCACCTGGCTCTCTGTGTCCAGGCGCAATCTTTTAGAGCAGGGAAACAGAGACTGGTGAGGAGAAACCCACCTCCAAAGGTGAAATTTTATATCCAGCCTCCTCCAGCTGCTCCTCTCCCAGCAGCAGTGACCAGCCCCAACAAGCAGAGCAATACTGACACACCTCACCATCCAGGCTGCTGTTAAATAAAGGTAAGTGGATTGCATCCTGCCTCCAGCCCCTGAGCAATTAAGAGATTAATGCAGCCCTTTAAAACCCGGTGATGTGTAGATTTTTTAGAGGATTTCACTTTCCATCCTCAAAGGTCCAGGGGAAGGGAGAAGAAAAATAATACCTTTTTCTCTACATCGTCAAGTAGCAAAAACTCTGACTTTGGTAATCACATGCTCCACCTGCTTCAAACAGGCCAAAGGGAGATTCCTTATTCACTTACTAACACGTAAACTGAGGCACAGAGCTTAAAGATGAGTTCTGGGGTTTGGGAGAACCTTTGTGGCATAAGAAAACACAGAACCCCCATCTTTAGCATCACTCTACCCCGAGTGTTTGGCAGCACTGCCGCTCATATGATGGCCGGAGGAGCTGGCACCGAGTAACCATAATGCTCTTCCAGACCCAGGTTTGCAGGGATCCACTAAGGGCACCTTACCACTAGGTCTGTGATTCTGCATTGCCAGGTAGGAATCGTACACGTCCCTCTTCAAGAAGTTGAGAAAGCCGATCTTCCTGGCAAACCTGCAGACGAAAGCCTTCTCATAGAGGCAATTGAGGAGAAAGCAGCCCTGGATGTGGTCTTCCTCCGAGCCCGGGCCCTGCTCCACGAGGGCCAGGTTACAGGCGGGGTCCTTACAGCAGGCTCTCATGCAGTCCCTGCTCCGATGCACCATAGGGGACGACAAGAAGGTGGCTCCGTTCTGGACGGAGGCGCCTGTGTCCAGCACCCAATCCGGCAGCCCAGTCGTAAACTCCTCCAGGCACATTTCACCGAAGGCTTTTTCCTTCTGCCCTTCGCCCAAGTCCAGCACCAGCACCAAGCAGAGCCAGGGCACAAACCACGGACCCGGACTCCTTCTGGCCATCTTGGCGCCCCGCTTCTCACTGTCTCGACACTTCAATCCTTTCCTAAAGGAAGGGAGAAGACATAGGAAGCTTAGAGGGACGGTGTTCAAGTGCGTGCCACCCCGGGGCGAGAGGGAGCCGGAGCACGGCCGAGGCTGCGCTCTGGATTCCGGCTCGCCCCGAGGAAGCCGCCGTGTCCCCTGACCCTGCACCTCGTCCCCAGGTGTGCTCTGAGCCCCCACCTGGGCGCTCTGGGCTGAAGCCGCTGCTGCGAGCGGGGTGTCCCCGCCGCGCCTCCAGCGCTCAGCGCTCAGCGCTCAGCCGCGTCCAGCGGAGACAAAGGCTCGGCGATGGCAGGAAGTGAAAACCAACTCCCTGAGAGAGTGGGGGGGGTGGGAAAAAAATCAAGTCCCTCCCTTGCTTGCTGAATTGCGTAAGAGGAAGGGGAGGAGAGACGAGCTGATACGATCTTCTGCTCCCCTTGGAATGGGGCCGAGGGCGATTCTCTCGCTCCCGCGGGTGCGAGGGCAGCCGCTCTAGACGAGCATCCCACCTGCTGGGTGCTGGCTGCATCCCCGTGCGTCCTTAGATGCTCCAAAGGAACTGGAAGCCGAGAAGCAGGCGATCTGTCCTGTGGCAGTGGCCCTTGTGCTCCGGTAGCCACTGGCACGGAGCACCTTTAGCCCCTGTCTCGCTAACCCAAATGAATCAGCCTTGCAGCCTGTCTGCAGTGCCCACCGCCGTTGCTGCTGCAAGAAGTTTTATGCTCAATGCAGGCATCCCTAAATCATGAATTCCTTGTTCTTGGGACACTATATATATATATATATATATATATATATATATATATGTATGTATGTATGTATATATAATTCTATTTTTTTTTTTAAGTGGAAGCACTTGGGTTCATACTTGGAGGCTGCCTGAGTGGCAGGACCTCTGCTACCACAGCAGTGAAAATGTTAAGTAATCACCCTCCACTCATGAGCAGCACTGCATTGTTGTCCTCAATCTCATACAGGTTAGCTGTGGTCCAGTTGTAGGGCCCTTGCCTTGCAGGATGGTGCTGTTTGCGGGCATGGGAATGCAAAGGCTGCCTGTCCATGTATTTTCCTCCTTCCTTCTTCTACTTGCAGATCCATGATCAAATTCCTCTGGTCGACACACACGTGTGTCATCTCTGTTGGTAAACAGTCCTAAAACCCTTGGGTAAAGTGCTCTTATCCCTCTGTCATTGTCCTTAGGAGAGCTGGGAGTGTTGGTAATTTGCTTGGACATTATTTATAGTGAAATATTTCATCACTTAAAATAACAACAGCAAATCTGAGACAGCATTCCATGGTATGTCTTCAGAAAGAGGTGGTGAGCAGCAGCTGTGTATCAAACAGAAGTTGGCTTTGTGGTTTGGGAGACCATTCTGGTGTCCAGCATTTCAATTCTTGCTGTTTCTTTCTGTATCTCTGATCCAGCCTGGTGTATCCTCACAGGATTTCTTGAGAGTCCTTAGAGACATGTTTCCTGTCTCCTGGCTGTCACAAGCACCACGGGAAGATAATACTGTGAGAATATTATTTTTTCCATACCTCTCATGACTTTCTCCAGCTTGATGTTGACATTTGTATAGTACTGACATCTGTTAGGAAAAGGGAATTGCTTTGATATGGCAGTGGTAAGGTATATAAAAACCCCTTGAAAATTAAGAGGAGGAAACGTGTATCTGCAGAGCTGATTTCCTTAGAGATGTTTGCTTTCCTCACTAGCTTTATGAGCCTTTGTCAGAAGAAGCATGGGTGTCTCCACTCCATTTACAAACCAGATCTTTCGGACCTGCCTGCAGACCATGCAAGCAGTAAAGGGGGAGCTGACCTTGCTTGTTTTGTTGTATTTGAACATCTAAATATATGCAGGAGAAATAAAAATGGCAACAAGGTTGTCTCCTTCTGTTCTGCACTGCCTGAGATGCTCTGCTGGGAACTCTCTCTTGTGTTTAACCTGGAATAGATTTTTCCTGGAAAAACATTCAAAGCCTTTAGAGTGGAGCCAGGAGTGGAGTCGGTGCAATTCTCTGACACAGGAGCAGGGAGATCAGAGAGCAGCTGGTCCCATGGCAAACCAGCGACTATGTTTGGGTATCCACACTGGTAGAATTGTGCCTAGACACTGCAGTTTGATATTTTTGTCTCACTGGCAATAATTTAATCTATCTCAGCGGTAGTGTTGTGTTACAAAATCTGTCACAGATTTCCTGCTAACCTGATGGACATGATGTCTCTTGTGTTTGTGCCAAGCAATATAGGAGTAATGTAATTCCTACAAATATAAAGCTGGGAGGATTCATTGATTGGCATCTCTAGTGTCTCCCCCCACTTTATAAAAATATTTATGAAAGGATGAGCCCCTTCATAAAAGGATGAAGTCTAGCTTTTACAATAGGTGTTTTTTTGTTTTTTACTCTTAGCAGAAGGCTGTGCTAAGTTCTGCTGCGAGGTTTTCTGCTGCTCATCCTAACTGTCTTTAAAGTCACTTTATATTTAGTTTTATTCAGTGTATTCAGTAATAGTAGCACAGTTTCTAAATATGCCCAGTTTATTCTGAAGGAATTCAGTAATTAAATTTTTAATTGAGATTGGGCCCAAGATCAAGAACTTCTACTAGGAACCCCTCTCTGTGGCAGCAGCTCTTCTTCCAACTTGGTAACTCAATTTTTGCTCTCCTAACCTCAAAATCTTGTTACAGACCTTGTCTTCTGCAAAATGAATAAATTCCCATGGCTTCAGCTGAGACACGTATTATTCATGTTAGCATGAAGGGAAAGTAGGGTATGTGGTTTTATAACTTGGGAGTGTTTTGAAGGGGTCCTGAAACAGTGAGTCATTGTTTACTTTTTTCTGTCTTTGAAGTGTCTGCTCTCAGTCTGGAAAGAGCTATTCCAAGGATGACTCAGGGGGGGTAAACCACACCATAGTTTAATATTTGGCTAAGACTAAAAGAGGTCTTAGACATGCATGCCTTGTAACAAATGCAGTGCAGGAGCCTCCATCACCTGCTTTTTTTCTGTGTGATCACTCTTGAGTCCACAGCACCTGTCGGCAGCTGGATGCTCACCTTCCAGGAGGAAGTGGCTACAACAGGCAGAAAAATAAGGAATACTTGATTCAGATTCCCCTTTGCCCCGCTGTGCAGCCCAGCTCCATGGCATCACCAAGCCCAATGACTTCCTCACAGCAGCTTGTCCCACCAGCTGTTGCAGACAAATCCATTCTGCTGTGTTTTACCTGGGAACAGCTCCATGTGTAATTAACACTTGGGAGACAGGTTTGCTTGTTTGTTTTGTTGTATTTGCCTCAGGTTAAACCTCCTGGTGTGGCTTAGGGGTGAGACCCGGATGCAAATGACGGCACAAAGATGTGGCAAAGGCAGGAGACAGGAAGGGATCTCATCAGGCTATGACTAACCACTGGTCCTGTGGAGCAAAGGAGGAGAAAGGATGACAGGCTGCTGAGTCCTCCTGTGAACCATTCCCATTGCATCGAGGTAGCTTTGGAGAAGGCAGTTACAATGAGGGTATATAGTTTCTTTGGGGATGTTCTTGACTACAGTTTCATGGCACTGTTTTTTATTTAAATGTTGCTGGTCAAAGTAAACCCTTAAAGGAAGGAGCACTGGGAAAGAAAGAAGTGGAAATAGTGTCTAGACTGGTTACACCAAGAAAGTATTTGCATTTTTGTCCTGTCCATGCTACACTTCTACAGGGAGATGGGTATGGAAATATGAAGCAAAGAACCCTCAGTTTGCAGGAACTAGAATAAACTTAGATTTCCCACTGAATTTCTTGCAGACAACTTGATATGCTCTTCATTGCATCTGTGAGTGGAACAGGATTGGCCATAGGGTTCCCTATGGACTCTCCTCCATTACTTCCTTCAGCAACTGCTTTCCCAAAAATCTTCTTTCAACACCTTCAGGGCAGCTGCCAGTGCCCCCTGGGAAAGTCTGCTCTCCCCTCTGCTTGTAGATGGCAATTTCCCTGTAGGTGAGAGCAGTACAGTCCCTGCAAATGGAACGGTACCCTTTCAAGGGGACTGGGTCATAATAAACTTCTTGGTGCAAGAGCTGTACAGCCTCTGCAAGCCTAAAATGTTGAAAGCAGGCAGGAAAACAAGGAAGATCCCCTTCACCTCTTCTGCCAGTGCTTCTCTTGTCTCCAACTCCACTGTTCAAAGACTTGCTGAAACTTCTGTGCTATACAAAAATATGTGCCTCGGACCTCTTCTAGAGAAACAGCAGAGTAATGAGGGAACTCAACAAACAAGAGGGTTAGCAACAAACAACATGGGCAGGTTTCCAAAGATCTCCAAACAATTATTTTGGCATCTAATTCATGTTGTCAGCTTCACCTACATATTTAAAGGGAAGGGGGCCTTCTTCCTCAGTGGAGATGCTTACTCAACATGCTACCTCATGCTGGACACAGACAAGGAAAATTGGTGTGCCAAATATTTCTCATTTACCCTTCTGAACTGCTGATGAGACATTAGCCTTTATGCTTCACTTGACTGCCAGTAACAGAGGCCAGAGGGAGGGCAGGTGGGCAGGCCAGCTCGCCTGACCTCTTTATTGCTGAGACCTCTCTATTCTCTGAGACAGTGCCAAATAGTGTAATTTTGGGTCGATCAGTCAAACTGGGAAATGTTTTCCTCTGGCACTTGCCATTATTCCTTCCCAGTGTCCTTTCAGTGCCTTATGAAAGGTGAGCCTGTCAGGAGAAAGGAGTAAGGCTGATCAGTGACACCTGGCTGAAGAATGTAGAGGCTTTCCAGCCTGTGCTGATGGGAAGGTGGCACTACTTCTCAGGTGAAGCTGGGGACTGTATGAGCTGGATATCCTGGTCTGCTTCCCTATGCCTCCAGAAACTGAGGGTGCATTCTTCCTCTACTCACTAGAACTCTAGGGCAAAGGTGCAGCCTTTTTGGTTTCCACGCTCCCATGCAGACACTGAAAAATAAAGAAAGTGGATGATGGACATCAAGATTCTGGGTGCACTGGGGCAGCTCACTTAGGGCTCTGGATTTTTAAAATCTTCAGTCCTGTCTACATTGTCTTATTGCACAACATTTTTTCTGTGCCTATTCCTGTTCCTAGGAAGGAACAGAACCTCTTTACCTTGTGTTGTCACTGTAGTATTGATACAGTCACCTCTGCTGGCTTCTCTGGTTTGTGTTAGCTATCACATTTTCAACCACAGGGAAAGTGATTATTTTCTAAAGCAGGTGGAGAGTGGCTTCTGCTGTCTTGAAGGGAAATGTTCCTCACTAGGCTGGGACTCAAGGGAAAGGGGCCAACCTGGTTCTGTGGAAAGATGAGCTGGGGCCCTGTTGAATAATTAAGCACACACCACAGCCATTAGCTCAGGAAGAAAGAGAAGCACCATCTTAGGTCACAGGTGTGGGATGGAGATTACTAGCTTCAAGAATGGAGGAGTGTAACTGGATCTGACTCATGCCCTTGGATGCTCTGCTGCTCGGATCAATGTCACAGCTGTTTGGTACTATGATGCCTGTGCTCAGCTTGGTTTGGTGGCTCTCTCTGGCACCACAAAGAGTCATAGAAGTCCAACTCCACAGTACTGAATTCTCTCCTCCTTTCAGAGGCACCTCACTTTTAGGGTAGGCCTGGAGGATCAGCAACCCCAGGAAACGGTCACACACACGGAAACGGAGGCATAGTGTTTCTTTCAGTCTAACAATTCAAATGTGTTGGCCATGTTTAAACTCCCTTTATTCACCAGCATAAATGATATGCAGATTTGCAAAGGAAAGTGTCACAAACAGCTGCAGCAGGAGGTCCATTGGAGCTTACATGTGCACAACTCTTGTGAAAAAGCAGGTTGTCTGATTAGATGATTTAGTTGCCCACATATGTGTCTTCACTCCAGAAATTTTGGTCCAGGTTGTATGCCTGAGGCTATACGGAGAGATAACTAGGCTGAAAATAAGATTCCATCTCCCAGCCATGCCTGAGATAGCTGAGATTCTGTCCAAACAAAATGGTGAATGTCTTTCTGTCCCTTTGGCCACGTGAATGTGCTGTGATGCAAGCAAAGGGCAGGATGGGGTGCAGCACTGTAAAGGAAGTCTTGAAGCTGCTTCTTTTTTGGTGGCAGCTGGCATTTACCAACACTGGCAGGTGGCTGGTGCACCCGTAGGAGATATTGCCTCTTTCACGATATCCTCTACCTTGAATGAGGCACCCAGTCCTGAGCCTGCAGGAACTTCTACCACACCCTCAAGCACTGATCTTGCACTGGCTTTGCTTTTTCTTCCTGCTTTGATCATAGTTTAAAACAGTTTATTACTGGAGGAGGCCTACTTTATCAGTAAACATTTGCTTCTATATAGCCACTTTCTTATTACAACAAATTCATGACTAAACTGAAATGAGCCAAAGCAGGATGATGAACATCCTGTAATCTGGCTCATTTTGGCTTACAGCTTTCCTGAGAGGACCTCTGACATCATCCTCTGAACGTCTTGTTCAGCTGTAGGGTGGCACTGATAGAGCAGCACGAGGGCTTGTGGCCCTTGGCTTGCAGCCCTTGTTTATCACTTTGTTGGTACAGTACAGGCCCTGGGTTGAGTCTGAGTTACTCAGAGAACAGGCCTGTGGATCTTTTCAGGTCTTTTCAGGCATCTCAGCTCAAGTGAGGTTTCAACTCAGCAGCAGTTCAAGCTACTTGAAGAGCCACTAGAGTAGGTTATGTTCCCTTTTCCCTCATTTTCACAGCTCTCCTGTGACTTCTGGATCCTTTGCTTCATAAATTCAACCATGCTGGCAAAGTATTAACAGGGCAAACCCTACCTTTAATGTAGAGATTAACTAAACTGCTCAAGAGCACCAGAGTTAGCACAGGGGATAGAAGAAAGGGGCTTCCCTGCCAGCCCTTCAGCCACTGAAGATATTTGGAGCGACTCAGTGATAACAAGTAGCTTCTCCTTTAAGTCTGTCCCTCTTTCTCTGCTCTTAATGCCACCCTCTCTAGAGATTCTTGGGATGCAAAGCAGTACAGTTTTCCCCCTCTTTTCCCCTTTCAAATATGTCAGTCCTTGAACACCAAAATAGAGCACTTCTATTTGGAGACAGGAATGTATGTCCTTTGGTCCAGACTTACCTTGTGAATATCTGCCCATTTTAGGTCATATTAACCTTTGAAAGGTCAACAGTTGTAAAGACATTATAAGTTGTTCAATGGGTTTTACAAGGATTCCACCTCGTTAAGAATCTCTGAAGAAACTGCACTCACTATGTATGCTATGAGCCTCTCAACACAGATTTTTCTGTGTAACTTTGATCTAAATAAGGAAGTTTTAGGAATTGGATTAAGAGGAGAGATACTGCCAAGCAGTATATGAGGAAAAATGGGTAAAGCTGCTAAAATTACATGGCTAACAGTTGTCTTCTCAACAGAAGTTTTAGGCTGTCAGAAAAACAGAGGAGATAATATCGGTTTCAGGTATACTTTCATACTTTATTCTTCATGTATGTGAAAGCAAACTGCAGAACTTCCCATCTAAAAAGGAATTTCTCCCCCCCCCCCCACATTAAGGATTAAAAGAAGGGCTGTAACAGCCCTGCTCTTCTTTTTATCATCCTGTGTACAAGATTTTGCTGGTTGGCTGTACCACCATCCCTCTGGGGACAGAACTTTGTCAGGGGGACTGCCCCTCTGCAGACTGCCTCACGCTGCCTGGCAGCACCTTTTGGTGGCAGAAGGGTCAGTTACTTTTCCTTTGGCTTATCTAGCTCTTGGCCTCCGAACTGGAAATACCTTGGCTCCCGGCAGCAGAGGCTTACTTGCTTTTTCCACATGAGTCATGAGACTGGAGGTGTTTGATCTGCTTCAGGATGGAGAGTCTCGGTTTGTCCATGTGGTGGGGCACCTCCCTGGGCAGGCTGCTGGAGGGCTCTGGGAACAGCTGAATAAAGAGGGGTGACAGCATCTGAAGGGACACCCAGTACCAGATGTCCTGGCATCTGTAATCACAGCCAGTCTGATTTCTGTTCCTCTGAACACAACAGCAGTGTGCACTTCTCACACATATCCTTCTAAATGGTATAGGCCAATAATGCTGCAGACCTTTAACCAGCTGTAAAAGAACTGTAAACCATGCATTGATAATATATAGTCTGATAGCCATTTATGATGCCTCAGCAGGTGAACCTGTTTACCATGAATACTTTTTTGTGGGAAGGAGATGGTTCTATATCCCTAGAGAGGTCTTCCCCTGCAGTGCCATCTCATCAAATACTGTACTTTTTTCATAATATGAGCACAGATATTTTCTTTTATCCCAGAATTTCCATGCTCAAATAATTTCAAATTCATGTAATTGGGATTTCTACAAAAATTTTTGAGACAGCTGGAGTTAACCTAGAGAATATAGAATGAAAAATGGAACTGCTGAGCTCAGCTATGGGTTGCAGTGTCATTTCCTGACCTACTGCTGTAAAATAATGGATGAACTGCCCGATTCCAGACCACTTCTTATCTGTACTGGGTCCAGTGCTGTAGATGAAAATGCCAAATATACCATCTCAAAGGGAGCTAAACCCTGTAGCTGCAGGCAGTTTACTGAGTGTGAACTGCAGCAGGATTCAATGCATTATGTATGGATCAGCCCTCTGGAATTGCACATGCATGTAAGTTATGCCTGTAGGAAAACTGTAATTTAAAACCTCCTCTTCCCCACCTCTTGGAGCTGACTTGTGTTAAATATTAACAAACATGGTTCATCAATTCCCTGGTTCACTTGGCTTCTTTTAACAACAGATGTTATTACAACAACTCTGCCTGCCTTCCTGCTCCTGTCAGCACATCTGATGGTGAAACCCAAGAGTCTGCGGCTGTAACTCTGCCTGCAGAGCCTGGCTGCTGCCCCAGCCCTGGGCCACCCCTAACTCTCTCCCTAGGAACACCAATGCCTCCCACCTTTGGTGCCTGTAACTAGCTTGTGCTGGGAGACAGTGGTTGCAGAGAAGCTTTGGTTAAAGGAGACCAAGAAAAGGTGTAAGGGAGTCCAGAGGAAGGCGAGTTCCTGCTGTCTGAGGAGGAGGCAGTGAGGATGGCCAGCAACTCCAGTGCACTGCCCCGGGTGACTTTCCAGACACCAGAGAAACCTGGGGAGGAATCATCACACAGGAAACTGGGCAAGTTGACCATAAAGTACAACCGCAAGGACCTACAGCGCTGGCTAGACCTGGAGGAATGGATCAATGCCCAGCTGCAGGAGCTGTACCAATGCCGGGTGAGTAGCTGGGGGAAGTCCAATTGCTTGTCAGGTGAATGGATCTAGAGGCCCTGTGTGCTGCCACAGATTTTTGTTTGCTCTGCCTCACTAGAAACAGTTCCTTGTCTTCAACTTCCAGCAGGTATCTCCATGCCCCCTCTGCAGCACTCTGACTGGTGTGTCAGCAGGCAGGGAAGCTTGCACTGATGCAATCCAACTGGCTTTGAACTGCCCGGTGCTGCACGTACTGAGGGGATGTAGCTATTGCTCAGCATGAGTAGCACAACCTAGAGAGATGTATAAACCCAGGATGATTCTTGTTGCTGAACTCCACGTGGTGAGTGACTTTGCAGTGAGCAGTATCCAAGCTAGCTGGGTTATAGTGATCAGTGTATCACTGTTCCTTTTTGACACAAAAAGTGAGGCTCTACCTGCTGTTTGAATGAGACACTTTGGAATGTGCTGTATCTGTAACTGCAGAGTCTGGACACGCTACTGGCAACAGGGAAGAATGGGAAAAAAACTCTTGGTCAAATGTAGAGATCTTATGCTTTCATCTTCACCAATCTCCAGAGCTGTCTCCCTTGCCTGAGCTTCCCTTTGCACTAGGAACAGTTCCTCCCAAATTCTTCCTGCCTGCTTGAGAGCTGTCCTAGTATGGAAGATCCAGGAGTGCGTACATCCAGCACCTGAATGGTATAGGTCTTTAGTTGAGCTACTGCATTTTTTTGCTGGGTTAGTGACATTCAAGTTCCATTGAATAGTACATTCAACCCATTCAAGTTCCAGCACTGCCTGGGTATATTGAAATTTTAACCCTGTACTATGGCTTCTATTCATTTTTTTGTCCTCAGATGCATGACACTCATGCTGGGTGCTTTCAGAAGCAATAGTGTTCTTCTGTGTTTGAGATAATCCTTTGGAGTCTGGTACAGTAAAAGATGAAAGGCTTTCCCCCATTGCACATCATGATCTCAAACCTTTTTTAAATAGCTTGATTAAGGATTTTGCTTTTCTCTCTATGGCAGTGGCTGATACAGTAAGCGAACACAGTTTTCTTGACCCACAGAGAAACTCCATCTTCAAGGGATGACACAGATGGGTTTAACAAATCGTGTAAAACCACTTATTTATGTCCTGGATGGGAACAGACTAAATGAATTGTCAGGCCCTTTCTGTCCTGTATTCTGTATTTGCAGCTCAGCACAGTGTTAAGCACACTTTGAGAGACAAGGAAATAAGAGCTGATGATTGCTTAGAGTCTTCTGCTCTGAGCATCAGCAGCTTCAAATTGCAATCAACAGTGAAGTGGACATGTTAGAACAGGCCAGGAATGGTGGGCTTCATGCTATTTGCCATGATGGTACAGAGAAATTTTTGCCTGCCCAGGCAGATTTTCTGGGCCTGAGAGCTACAGAATCATGTCACCTCCACAGCTGAAGACCCAGACTTCAGGAACTGCTTCTAAGTCTGTACTTATTATTGTTGTTGCTGTATTTTTTTACTGTTATAATCATTATTACAATGATTTTCTGTGTGACTGTTTCCTATTTGATATTTGTGGGAATGTGCCAGACTCATGCCATGTTGGGAGATAAAAATAGTTCATTTCTGTTTTATTTATGCCTTATGCAAAGAACAGGTAGAAAACAAATACGGAGAAAAAGGTCCTTCCTTCTGCTGCAAATGCATGTCTTCTCTGAAAAAGTATATTATTGCTTCTGTTCTGTTAACCAACTTTTTTAGATTTCCCAAATATAGCTTGCTTAGTAAAAATGACTAATCTTTTTATGTTATTTGTGAATTTCCAGTTGTTTTCTACAGCTTATTAAAATGATAATAATAAATTCTCAGCTGCATCTTAAGCCTCTTCATAATGCATTATGAAACATGATACAGTGCACATGGAAGCAGAATCTATCAGCAGACCCAGTCAGACAGGCACAAAGTTCAGCGTGTCTGCAAAGTTCTAGCGTGGTAGTCCTGGTGAACAAAGGCTGTTCAAAAGAGTGGCAGTGACAATATTGCTTCCCACACATGCCTGCACTGGCATTAAAGGGACTGTCCCTGGAATTGGTAGGTCAGTTCACAGAGTCTGTTTCCCGACTGTTGAGGTTTGCTAGAGATAAGCAAGGAGAACGGCTGATGCTTTGATTAACAGAACATCTTGTCCTTTGGAGAATCACTACATTTTTGAAGAGTTAAATTTTTGGCACTTTTTTCCTGAGACAGACAAAAAGCAGTTGGTATGACCAGTAACATGACCCAATATGGGGTTCTCCATGTGCTATTCTTACTTGCTGGAGTGTAGAGACAGACCTTTACACTTGTAAAGGTGTCAGAAAAACAAGTCAGTTTATGACTTCTGTTTTCCAGAGAATTAAGTAAGAGCTGTTCACTGTCATCAGAGTAGCTGCCCAAAGGGGATTCTTTCTCCCTACTGCAAAATCCCTGCAGGCACAAGTGATAAACCCAGCCATGCCCTTACAGGAACAGATTGCTAGTGGATTGCTCTTGCTAGTATCTCTTCAGCACAACAAATTTCCCTGCTTCCTGAGGTATTCAGGCCAGCATAAGAGATTTGCTACAAGGAACTACATAACATAATGCTGTACCAGGTCAGAGACTGTTAATAGGATCTCTTCAAATACATACATGTGTCACAGTAAATTACTTGTAATCACAGAGATGTCCAGCAGGCCATCCTGCTCTCCTCTGTGCATTGTGACAAGACTATTCAGTTGCCCTGCTTCTTTGGGTTTCCTTGTATCCATCAACTCCATTACAATTGCCTCTTTGTTACCTCTTACTTTGTTCCACCTGCCCTGGGCAGTGCAGTGTTCCTGGGTATCTTCCAGAGATTCAAATGCCAGCAAGGTTAGTTCAAACATCATCTCCTGATACAGGGAATGTTATGATATTTACTGTCACAAGGATTTTTTGCAACAAAACTAAGACTCCGTGATTTTCAAGAGGATTCCTTGCATATGGAAGCCAGAACAGCATCCACACTAGGACTAAAACTCACAGGGATTTCCTACCCTATCTTGCCCTCTCAGCCTACTCAGCTTCTTAACCACATACAGAATCAGACTGGATCAACACCTGTTCTAAAATGTCACATGTAAACTATTACTTTTAAGATTAAATACTGTGTGGGTCACTGAGCACTCTGGTTTATTATTTATTTGTAAGTTAGCTGTGTATTAAAGCTAAAACAAAGGCTTTCTACTTACTCTCTGGCTTGGTATCCGTGACTGCTCAGGAAAAGTTTCTTTTTTTCCTGTAAGTATTGCCTTTAGTGCTTTAGTGCTTAATGTTTTACATACACATCCATAAATGCCACAACCTGGCAACCAGGTACTGTGCTGTTCACCCAGTACCCTTATTCTGCTGATTACTATGCCAAAATATCACTAGTGTTGTGCTGTGATTAATTTTGCAGATACACTTGAAAAACACAGGCTGCTTTCCTTGCGGACATTTGTGAAGCTAAAATGTGTCATTGATAAAGTTTACAAATGTTTCCAACACCCCCATGCACTACAAGATTATTATTCCAGTCACCAAAACTTGGTGTCCCTCTTACATTAAAGGAGACTATTATATCCTTCTCATGTCTATTAGAGAAAGCTGGCAAAGTATTGTGAGGTCATTCAACAGCATAACTATTTTTCTCTCCATTACTGCAAAAAGCCTTAGTATAAATACAAAGTGGGTGAATGTGATTAGCATAAAACCCTAAAATCTCCTTCTATTATTTATGCCTCTCTAAGATTAAGCCTGTTGGAGTTCTGTTTGGTGAACTCCTCACAGATGAAGGGTGTCACAGGCTGATGTACGTGGCACTGCAGTTTGATATCCTTGAAACGGTCTTCCAGTGATGGGTGATGATCCCTGAGCAATGTAGTGGTTGGAAAAGATGAAGAATGTGTACAACAGGATGGCTGTCACAGATACCACAAAGGGGCTGGAACCCATGCCCTCATTATAAGAACCTTTTTTGAGATTATTTATATCTTGACCTCAATGTTGCAGCACAGTTTTATTGTAACTCAACTGCTTAGTTCTTTAAAGATGGCCTCTAGAATTCTTAGAAGTTTGAAGGTTAATTAACTCTGGTGGTTCTTCTCCTTTTTAGCTAAGGGAGGAAACAGAAGCAGCAGCTCCTGAACCACAAATTGATCTTGAAGATCTCCTGGAGGTCCCTAATGAAGAACAGAAATTAAAACTACAGGTCAGATAGAGGGACTTGGTGACTTTAAGTTAGTGAAGTTTTCTTCATAAAGACTAGTGGGATATGGTGTAGAGTATAGGTGTTTGCAGTGTTGCATGATACTTTCTTCTGCCTTCCTTTTTGTAGGGAGGGGAGAATTAGACCAACTCATAAAATACTGAAATGATGACTCCTTGTTTTTTCAGGAAATCCTCCATGAGTGCTCCAGCCCCACAGAGGTGAGTAAAGCACCCTATAAATTTACATGTATACATGTTATATATAAATTTACATGTATACTATTCTGTTACGGTGTGTTTGCTGCTGCTTGGCTGAGTAGCCAAGACACTATCCTGATGCAGATTTGTTTAATCATAATGGGAGGTGTTTGCCACTTTATTCTGTGATTGTAGAATTACATATAAATGCACATGGATGAGCTGAAGGCAGAGCACTGGAGCAAATAAGGAATTATGCTTTACCATCAGAGGAAGTTCTTTCCATGTTTTGGACATCCTAAGCTGATCAGTCTGAGTTGCTATGTGATCGTCAGTGTAGAAAAGCCATAGCCAGTGACATAGCTCACATAACCATTTTTTACACTGTTAACTAAATGCGTTCTTAGCTTAAAACACTCTAGGGTTACGAGTGATACAAATGTAGAATGGCCCTTAGGTTGGACTGGGCAGATAACTGCTGAGCAGTGGTCATGTAGGTTAGTTTTACACATGGATTTTTTTCCCCCAGGTAACTTTACAAGTTTTGACTTTGAATTAGACAGTTAAATCCCACAATGATTTAATTCCAGATGATTGGAGGCAATACTGTGTGCATGCACCACACCGGGATTGCCTTTGCTGCACATGCACTGTATGTGAACATTCTGCTTACACATCATCCATCACACTTCATGTGTTGTCCAGCCAATGTGTCTGTGCAGTGATGAACATAAGAAATTGAGATAAATGCATGACTGAAATTCAATCACTGAATCACAATTAATATCACTGAAATTAAACTGGGCTGTAGCAATCATCACAGATACTCTCCTAGCAGGCATTTCAGCAAAGCTGGCAATATGAAATAGACTGTCTGAATGTCATATGTGAGGCAAGAATCCCACATTCCCAGAGCAATAACTGAAGAGAGTTTGCTCTGCTAAGTTATAAGCCATGAAAGTGTCTTGTGGACAGCACAGTATCTGCTGAATACAGATACTACTGCCGCATTGGCAAAAACACGTACTTTCACCCTGGGGATCTTGAATCCAGTCCCCTTGAAAGATTACAGCAATCTAACTGCAGAAAGCAGACAAGACAAGGACTGACGGAAAAGGAATGTATAATCCTAGGCATTTACTTCCAGAGCACATTGTGGCAACTTCTGATGACCCAAGTGAGGATGCTGAGCTTCCACACAGCACAAATGGTAACAAGCTGCAGTACTTCCAGGGACCTTGCCTAGTTACAAGAACATGTAGCTATGTCTTTGGGTAAGAAAGGCTGCGCACTTCTTTATGGTGATGTTACTTGCCACGCAAAGGGTAAAGTTTGCACTAGTCACATTGCCTTCTGCTTGTAATAACCAGATAGGCTAGTTTAGTTCATAGTCCCTGGCTGTGTCAGCAAAATAGTCAGGGTTTGTCTCCATTAACTGCCCATCTATCTGCTCTGCCTGTCCTCAACCCCTGTGCAATGTTCCCATTAGTCCTACATGTTTTGCTCCACCTCTTCTCTGCCAGCCACTTCCTTGTAGAACTGGCACAGCTCCAGGATGGTTTGTAATTCACAACATGGAGCTTTACTGGTTGAACAAGAGGGACAGCTTGCTTTGCCCTAGATTGGGAGGGCAGCAGAAGTGGGCAGGAGGTTATGGTGGCAACAGGAAGCAGTGGAACCTAAAAGAGAACAACAGCATCCTGAGGTCATCTCATGGTGGGAAAAGCAGGTATCTGGTATGAAGAGGGTCAGGCTAGCTCCTGAGGAGAAAGTAAACATGTCTGTTCCAAAGGGAGATAGGGGAAGGGAAGCAGAGGAGCTTTTAGACCCTTCTCATCCATCACAAGGTCTCCTTTCCTAAGCTAAAAGATAGGTTTCCTCAGTATATGTCAAAATTCTGGTTTCTGCTCAGTGCAAGGGCGAATGTGGGGATGATGGAAATGCCATAGTACTGTCTGGGCTGGTGAGCGCTAGAATTAATACGACATCCTTCTTCAACCAATTCTTATTGTAGGACTTCATTACGGAATTGCTTAGTCGATTGAGAGGTCTCCGGAGAGTCACCAATCCTCAGAAGAAATGACCTTGCTCACATGGAGAGCCCAGCTTTGGTTATAAGGAAATGTGTATCTTCCTCACAAAAACCAGGATCAGCAACAGAACTTCTGAATATGTTTAGGACTTATTATCATTGAGAAACATCACCAAGTTTGTGAACTTTGTACCAGTGGTTTGAAGTCTCCACTCCTTCCAGATCTACACACACAGCAGGGAGCTAGATTGTACATTTTCCTTATTTTTAAAGAGTGTGTTAACCTGAGGAACAGGACAAGATGTCCCTCTCCTTTAGATTCTTCTAGGAATTTCCATGCTGGCCAAGGAGCACTGAATACAATTCTCAGGAGCTCATCAAGACTTCTTTTTTTGTCCACTGCAAGGAAAACAAGGCATTGGTTATCACTCATTCATCAACATGGAAAATCAGCCACTGTTAAGCTGCACCTCATTTCAGTGTGGCTTGGACCCAACTGTGATCTCCTGCCTGTTACTGCTGTACCTGACTCTACAGCATTGCACGTACTTTGTATGTCTTATTACAAAGTATGTGCCTCTGTTACTTATGAAGGTTGGACAGAAAAGATATGATAGTTTGAGTGCACCTGGCCTACTTAAGGGGAAGTTTGTGAAACAGCTGCTAAGGCTAATGGCTGATTTTTTTTTTCCTTTTTGTGGAATTTAAGACTTATGACTTAGAAGCCTTTTCTAAAGGAACAAGGTCTGGAAATTATTTTTCTCCTAGTTTAAAAAGATGTTGGAAAAATACTCAATTTTGTATTAAAACAGAGAAAACCAGCCATGCACTGCTTGATTTTGCTCTCTCTTTAGATTCTAAAGAAAAACTGAAGTAAGAAAATACCTGCTCCCAACTTCCCTTCAGGGAGCATCTTGGAGCAAGTCTTTTGCGGACAGGTAGGTCTCACAAACGAGCAATGAAGTAGGACACTTGAGTGTCCACAAGAGTAGTACCTTGCTGCACAAACTCTTCTGGCTACAACTAATGTTTGCCTGGAAAAATACAGAGGAAACTACATCCAGCCTCTCAGCAAGTCAGTAACTTGACACATGTGACTAGGAAATAAGACAGCAGATGGAAGCTGATTGCTTAGGCAGCACACTCTCACATTATGCACTGTCCCTACAGTGATGCCTGCCATGCAAACACAAGAGACGAGTCTGAATCACATCCAGAGGGGCTCCTATGGAGCAGAACGCGCAAGGCCAGCTTTTGAGTATATCTTTTGTTTGTTTGGTGAGCCGGGGCAGAAGGGACCAATTATGGAACCAGAGGGACATGCAGGTTAGCTAACAAAGACAAACAAGGAGTCTTGGGCTGGACCAGTAATATCTTAAATGCATTAGTCTTTCCATCTTTATCAGCAGCAGTGATGACTATGATCTTGTTCTTCCCTCCTGTTTTCCAGGTGTCAGTGAACAAACTGTGGGTTGTCCTCTAAGAGGACAAAATCCAAGCTGGAGTAACAACTGTGATGTAAGGGCCTGCTTCCTTTCACATGCTGTTCTTGTATGTGACTGGAAGTTGGCAAGCCATGGACCTCATATCTTGTTCAAAGGCTGCTCCAAGATGTTCTAAGCCTCACCCACTATGCTGGAGTCTGGAATGGTCTCTCTTTATCAGGGCTGATATCTATCTATGGGAGTCCTGGGAATGTGCCATTTTTGGCTTAAATAGGGGCTAGCAGGACATGCCTACCCTCATGAAATCTGAACTTTTAAGTAAAGTAACAACAAAAAAATTAAATCCAGAGCTGCAATGGTTGCAGATCTGGCATTGCTTATAGATGACACCTGCTAAGACATATAACACACCCCTTGAGGAAAGAGAGCAGCATATTAACAGAAACCTCTGAATACTGTTAAAAACAGACTAGGATCAAACAGAAGTTCAGGTGGAAGATCTAGGTGGACAGGCCATTAGCTGACTGCCCTAAACTAGAGATGTAATTAGCTACAGCACACTGTAGTATAGGAGTTCAGACTACTTACATACCCCACCAACAGGCTTTGTTTTATTCTGCTGAGCTGCAACAGCACAAAGACATGACATGCTTCTCCTCTGGTCCAAGAGAAATATTTTCTCCCCCCAGGCATTGTTCTGTATTTTCTCAATATGGAGGGATGCAAAAAGAATTTTTGTCTGTACTTTAGGGTAGACATTGTTAGAACCAAAGACAAAGCAGGATCCAAAAACTCTGCTTGACTGAAGATGTCTTTATGCTTATTTGGCCTTCAGCTGAGCACAGTGAGATCAGGTGAGCAAGGCAATGTGTGGCCAGTGGTAGATGATTTCTCAACTCACTGGTGCAAAAGAAAAAGCAACATAAGGCAGAGTAACTTCTTTTTTGTCTCGTTCTTAAACAGTAGTAAATCATACTTGGTTTGATTTACATTTTGGCTGTTCTCACACTAGACCACAAGGACAGATTAAAATCAGTGCCTGAAAATTTTTTTTACAAACATCTTCCAGTTAACTTTGCTGTTTCTCTGCACCACCACTAGCAAAAGTATGTAGATACTGTCTAAGAATGTTGCTTGAAAGGAACCCTCTTGATAATACCAAGATAACTCAATGTATGAAAGTTCATGAGCTTTTATAATTTGAATTCTTGCTGGAGTGGAGCCTACATTTGATAATTCACGTACAAAACATTTTGAGAGGGAAAGAAAATCTCATGACTTCCTACAAAGACAAGAGCAAACAAGTTGAATCTCTTTCTGCAAGGTGCCAAGCTACCTTCTGTCCTTGAATAGCTATGACTGAAATTGATCTGGCCTGTCAGAAATGGACTGATTACCAGCATCTTTGTTTACCAGTACCTTTTCAAAGACAAGGAGAGGGAGTAAGCAACACAGCTAACAGTGCACTGCCCAGTTATAGGTCATGCAGCATTCCTCTTTCACAACACAGATGCAGCTAGGTGTGCTTCTTGCAGACTGCCCATCTGGATACCCCTCTGCCCCCCCTACAGGGAGTTCACTGAGGCAACAGCTGCAGTGGGAATGGCTTTTCAGGGGAAAGTGATTAGGCTACTACTAAAATGGCCCATTACATGCAGAAAGTACAGCAGCCACAAAAATGTCCATTAGTGGTGCAGGGAAAGCAGCAGGATGTGTCTGTATTACTGAAGAGACTCTTCCATGTATGACTAAGTTCTATTTCAGGTAATGGGTTGGGTGCATTTCTAGATTCCTTGGGATGGCCCCACAGAAACCAATCTGGGAATCTAAATAAACTGCTTCCGGCTGCAACCTGCTCCATTACTACTGATGTGAAACAGGGCAGGGCTTACAGGACAGAGGCTGCCTACCTGCAAGGGAGCTCAAAAGTTTTGTTGTTGCTGATGAAGCATTCAAAATGTTGCAAGTATCATACCAGCTCAGACTAATATTAAAAAAACCAGCAGCTGTAAATCAAGTAATAAAATTACTATTAACTGCTTGGAGAAGACACAGGCTGAAGCCCAAAGCAGTGGATCAGTTTAGGAGAGAAATAAGAACAGATACTTGCACCTTCCCCTGCATATGTGAAACATGAAGGATTTAACCTCAAACAGAAATGGGCTGTCTTACTATCAGACTAATTATCCATGTCAAATAGCAATGAAAAAGTGTCACTCCTATGATAACATAAAGAAAGAACAGCATTTTGTTCTGATTTTTAAGACTGAAAGCTCCTCAGGGCTGTAACTTACTTAAATTTTGTGTAACACAGGGTTAATTGTGAGCTCTTGCATCAGAACAACTCAAGTAGTTTTTCCATCTGCCTGTCCAAGGAGACAGGCACTGGTGAAACAAGGGTTGCCAGGAGAAAGAAGATCTTCTACAGAAGTCAGGTTTTTCCAGCCCTTCCTAAGAAAAGGTTTTGATGGCACTGCTGGACATGCTTGCCATTTTTAGTGTGTTAACCTAAAGCATTTCTATTCTACGTTGTTTGAACCAGGTTTCTGTTGAAGAGTCTGATCCAGAGCAGCACGTTAGCAGAAACCCACCTTCAACAGTGGTTTAATTCATTTGCTGTCCTCTGACCAGAGGTGCAGGTAAACACTGTTTCATCACTTCACCTCGGAGACACTGACCTTAAGCATGGGGGCAAGGCAGACAGCTGGGAGTGGCAGTGTCAAACCAGACAGGCAAGATTCATTGGAAATTCCCTGTCAAGAGCAAATCCTTTATTTTGTTGCAATTGGAATTTGTCAACCTCACAGAGCTCTCTCAGAAGTCACATCATTTGTAAAGAGCTCATCCTGATGGAATAACAGAGTCTGTTTACAGCCAATTTAGTTGGGTATTTGAAGCAATTCTGAGTGTTCTGGGCACTGGTAAGTGCCACTTGCATCTGGATTGTCTCCCAGGAGGGATATGGACATGTGCAACTGAGCTTCCCTTGTAACCACAGAAAGAGCATCACACAGGTAACATCCTACCAGGGGACCAAATAATAAAGTCAAATCCTCCTTTCAGACTAATATACAACTCTTTCAGACTAACGTGTTGCTCTTACAGACATGACCTTGGCACAGCCACTGCAGGCCACAACACTGTTTCAGTAGCAGACTACCTTTTCAAAGGATCCTTCCTTTCGAGTCAGTGAGCAGCACTGCCCTACATCTTTTCCAGTCATGCCACAGAAACATTTTTGATGACTTCACTATTCTTCATTTCTTTTCCTAAGCCACTTGACACTAGGACTAACATACCATTATAAGAAAGCAACACTTTGTAAAGGGCTATCAGCATATTCAGGAGAGACTTTAACCACAGGCCTCTGTAAATAACTTTTATTATGTTTTGAAGTTCTCATCACACAAGTGATCACAATGCAGACATTTTTCTCAGTGCAAAGTGCTTTGCTGCCTGTTGAACCAGTGCATAACCCTGTTAGTAAAAGCAGGAAGTTATTTATCAGGCAGTCAGTACTGCCTTAAACACAAAACTTTACTGCTACCCACATTGCTTCACCATCTGTATTTATGGACTTGTATCCACCTCCTCACATCAAAGTCTCATTTATCCCCAAGCATGCACAGCAAACCCTGCACTTCCCAGGTGTATTTGTGAGAACAAAGTCACATGCCCTCCAAGCCTCTCTCAGATTACAGCTCATCCTTTAACTGTCCAAAACATCACCCGTTTTGGCTGCAAATCCACTTGGATTCTTCCATCTGGCCGGCTCCTCTGTTTTCCCATTCTCCAGCTCCTTTTCTCTCCATGAAGAGTGTGATCACTTCTGTTTGCAAGGAAGATGATAGCGTGAGGTTTGGTGGTCCTTCAGGTCAAACTCCTCATGGCCTTCCCTAAGAAGTAAACAAAGTGTGGTCAGAAGTAAATACCCAGGCCAGGAATCCCTCCTTAGCCACTGCACAAGATATCACCCAGCAGCCCTTAAAGCAGAAACTTATCCCAAGGGCTGGCTGTGAGGACCTGACTGGCAGCCATGTGGGATAACTACTTAAGATATTTGCTTGTAACAGAAATTTCTGAGGTGCTTTCTGAGAAGGTCTGCTCATCCTTGTCAGCTGGATTTGAAAATAACAACAGGTCCTTCTGTTTCTTTCCCTCTTATAGAGATTCATGTAACTAACGGCTCATTTTCATCACTGTGTCTGTGATTCCAGGGACATTAGCAACTGTGACAACAGACAAAATGACAGTCTCCTCCAGAAAACTCTGGAAAATAACTGAAAATAATGTAGTGTATTGGCAACTGTCTTAACCACACTCAGGAGCAGGCAGTGCTGAGTAAGACAGCATGTGGCTGATACACTCACCAGTTAAATCTGCTTTTACTGATTTTTGCTGTCAGGTAGTTTTGTTTGTATGCTTTGTTTTTAATAATGTAACATTGCCAGTCATATGTTTTCCGAAAATTTCCCCCCGCCCTGCATTTGCATTTCCCTACAAATACATTTGCAGGAAATGAGAAAATGTGCACAAAAGCATCTTTTGTTATACCAACCTCATTTTTAGCAACCTGCTGTCTTAATGTCATCCAGCACTAATCTGAGAACCCAGCCAACTACCCAACAATTTTGAGGCATGAAAAAAGAGGGAAATCACAGAAGCTGTTAGGAATAGCTTTGTATTCAAAGGAATTAACCCTCCAAATCTGAGACATGAAAATTTTGTGAAAAATCAAGCCACGCATGTTTAAGAACCAAGACTACAGCTGCTGCAAGGTCTGACTGGTGAAAAAAAGCTCACACATACGTATCTAAACAACGAATTTTTTAATATGGTTTAGGATTGCAAAGTCTCAACCTAAGAAAAGCCTCAGTAATTCATATTATCTGATCTCCCCCTTTAAGGGAATCCAGCCCAGGTCATGCATCAATGGCATTAACAAGCCATAGGAGTCACTGAACAATGGTCTCATTTATCCCATCCCACGTAATGCAGCTCATCAGCTGCTCCAGAGAACACTCAGACAATGTGCCCAAACATGCACTGAAGCATTTCTGCCTAGGACCAGTTTACTCCCTGAAGCCTGAGACAACTACTGATCACAAGAAAGTACTTCTCTAACACCTAGCATTCAGCTCAAATCTGGATTCCTCAAATCTTGCCTCCTACTTCCTGTTTTTCTGCCCAATGAGAAAAACATACAAGAGGGGCCAAGCTTATCTTTGACCCACTTCTCAGATCCAGAGGAATTGTGATACTCACCAGAAACAGCGCTGGCAGTAGAGGTCCCCATCACAGCCGTGGCAGCGCAAAGTGGCATCTTCGTTGCAGATGCAGCACCAGGGTAACTCATCCTCATCACTATCATCTGCCCTTGCAAGAGCTGAGGTGGCTGGAGTGTGGCTCTAATTCACACAGAAAACAAGAGACAGAGAGTTCAAACCCCAGCACAGACAATAAAGGACTTTAACTGTAATGCATGATGGCCACAGTGACCTGTCCCCAGTCCCCACAGTTTCCTCTCTGTTGATGATGAGTCTGTGAGATGAACCTGCCCAGAGTGCAGGGACAGGCTCCATATGTGTCTAGATTGCTAAATAAAAACCCAAGGTACTTGCTAGAATTTGGGTTTGAATCTATGTTGCTTGGAACATAAACAGGTATTCAGCCTCAGTGTCTACAGTGACACACACCTACTTGTGTGTGCTAAGGGCATAAAGCCCAGATATTCTGGCAGGCACCACAATAATACCATGTGACAGACAATTCCTGCTGCAAAAGCAAAAGATCAAACAGTTTTGCTGAAAGGGGCTAAGTGGGAAGGGAAAGGAATGCGGAGGTGGGGGTGTTGTTTTCTCACCATTGTAGAAAGGTAACTACAAGGGACAAAGGAAGTGCTTTGCCAAAAGGCCACTACTATTCATTTGTATCTGAGGCTAGGAGAAAAAGATCTTTTGAACCAACTATGGTCTCCTTCTCCCTTACAGAGAACTCTTGTAGAACAGAAAACACACTGAGACATAGTGCCTGGACACTGGCAAAGGCAGCCTCCTGACACAATCTTTTCCTAACACTATCTTTTGGATCAGTAATCCCAGAAATGCAAGGTGTCATACCTGAGATGGATGTTTTTAATAATGCTTACAATTATGTAATTTCTTCCACTGGGAGTAGGCCTGACAGGTGCCTGTGAGTCACAGGTGCATCTGGCTTGGAATATGCATTAGAGATCATGTATCTATTTCCATAGTCGGCCAGAATCCACTCTGAGCATAGGATGTCGTGCTACAAATTCCTTCCTCTGACATTATATGAAGACACAGACAGTAGAATACTATCTAGAGGTTCTAGTCTGCACATGCTGAAAGCACTGGTAAACCTCCCATTTACTCTGGTTCAGATTGTATGATACTAGACCGCGGCCTTATTGACCTAATTATACATATATATATATGTATAATTCTCTAATATCCATACTGTGAGGTGTCTTACCAACTTCTCTTGATTTATACAACACTGTAACATTCAACACAAAGCCAGCCTAAAAGGAATTGTATTCCAGGGAACAACTCCTTTTGTAAGTACAAGGATGATTCACAGCTGAGCTCAGAGCTGATCAGCCTTGCAGAAGCTGCCTGGATTGTTTGCTCTGGAGAAACTGGTTGATTTTTTTTTTTTTTTTTTCTGCATCAAGCCTAGGATACAACAAACTTTTGCTGCAGAACTGTACTCTCCTGACACCCTGGAACATTCAAGACATCAATTCAAGAGATCCTGACCAGTTCACTGACCTTTTGCTTTGCTTTCTTACACAGGTTTTGTTGTGAGGGTCCTGGTTGGGTGGTCTGATCTGCGGGAATGTTGAATCCACTTGCTTCATCCAGGGCTGCTTCCTCTGTGAGCTGGTAACAACACAAAGCAAGAAGTCTCTTGTTTCAAACAGCTGGGAGCCTCATTCTAGGCCCTAAACTTCCTGTGCTTGTTGCTTTCATGCAGTAACAGGAGATGACAAGTCTGAATGCAGCTGGTGTTACCCAGACAGAGGTAAGCTCAATCTGCACTTGGAATACTGTGTGTCCATTGTGGACAGTCTGCAGCAGCAGTGGCCTGAAGCTCAAACACTCTGCTTTGCAGTGCAGCTAGCAGGCCCTCAGCATCATGCTAATCACACACATGTGACATATCAGACAAATTTAATCTCAGGTGTGCCTGCAAGACAATTCAGAGACATTTTAGTGAGAAATGTAGGTGTAAGCTGAGCTACACAGCACATCTCATCATCCATGTTCTAACTGGCTGGAGGAAAACACAGAACAAGAAGTAGTGAGGCAATACCAGCAAAGTGTGGTTATATAGGAGACACACACAGACCACCAGCGACACTAAGCATGAATGACAAAGGCAGTGTGACAGACTAGAAATATTGTTGTCAATTGCCTGTCAAATAGTTGAATGGCCCCTGGGAACTGTTATTGGAAAAGCACTAGGAAAGTAAGGAAATTAAACTCTTCTCAGGTACAGAAACACATCCTTTGTACGCTCACCAGGTAACACACACGAGGCATAACCAAGAGGAAGAAAAACAAGGCCACAGCTGCCCCTTCTGACCTGTTTCAGCACTCTGCGAATGGCCTCCTCCTCAGCCACTTCCTCATCACTGTCAGGGAGCTTATACGTTTCCAGTGTAACTGTAGGAGTAAGAAATCTGAGACTGTAACTCACACCTGCCATATACCAGAGAGAATTCTTTGTGGTGTGAACTGGCTGTGGCATTCTGGCTCTGACCTTTTAAGGTGCAGATTCCTCAAAAAGGATGTTACTGTTTATTTTTAATACTTGGATGAGAGAAAGAAAAGATCCCCACCAAAACCAGAGTTTTGGTTTTAAAAGTTTTGTTAACCTCACTAGAGCATGCTAGAATTATTCCAAAGAAGGGTGCAAGACAAAGCAGTCTTTGTGCAAGACCATACAGTCCCAGCCTTTATCCTCAACTTAGATCTTTCATATTGATTTCATGACAAACCAACTTATACAACTTTGCAGACAACCCAAATATCAGTTTCTTGCAGAACAATATCATTCCTCTTGCAGAGGAATGAAATGGATAAACACTAATAAATTATTCTGTCATAGCAACTTGATTCCTCTCCTGGCACTGTATTTTTATCTGCTACCCACCTTTCTCTGGGTCCTCGCCTTTGAGTGCTGCCAGTCTCTTGGCAACCTGTAGGATCTTTTCCTGCCTAGTGTTCTCTTCCTGCAGCTCAGCAGCAGCTTCTGCCAGAAGTTTATTCTTCTCTTCCTCTACCTGTTTTGGGTCCAGATTTGCAAGGCAAACACAATCTTCACTTTCCCGATTGAGATCATTCAAACTTTGGCTACTAACAGCTGCAGACAGACACACAGAACACACTGGTGAGTCAGCAGCAATGTTCCTTGGGTACAGAAAACATGACAAATAATGCTATGAGAGCAGCTTGCTGCCCTCCATGAAGCTGGGTAACAAGAGGAAAAGGCATGCCAGTAGGATCTTCACTGTACATGAAGAAAATGAGCTAATCTGTGGCCTACAGTGAGATTACAGAGAAAGCAATGCAGCCAGGAACGGTATGCCAGATTCTGATATTTTGTAACAGTGCACAGGTGCATCAGGAGAAGCAATAGCTCCTCCTCAGGGAGGAGTCACTTTAGAGAAACAGTGAATCCGAATAATACAACCCTGACAAGAAGGAACCGTCTCCAAGCAAAGACACTGAGACCCAGTGTGGAGCCAGATGGCTGCTCTTGGTCAGTGTGGGGGATTAGAAGCGGAAGATACGGACAAACTCAGCTCACATGTAGAGTTACATAGGGAGGCACAAATTCCCTTTTCAGCATAGCACATACATTATTAGACATAAACAGGTCTTCAGAAGCCAAAACAAATACCTGGAGGCTGAACTCTTGGTCTGTAATGCTCATCAATGGCAACCTCCTCAGACAGTTGAGTTAACAGGTCATCTGTCTTCTGGACCAGACTTCGAGTATCGGGAGGTTGGTGTACCTAAGAAACCAGGGGAGTGTGGGAATAGGTGAATGAGAGGAAAGTGGCATACTCAATCAGAGGAGAATTTTGGCAACCAAGATCACCCTAGATGGGAGCAGCATACAAAGCTGCTTCCACTGACACTGAGAATCTCAGTTTAGAGTTATGTGATGTAAGATTTGTAAGTGTTTCACTTTCAGAGGTGCTGAATGCACAAAGCTCAAAGAGCAGTCACCCTAACATAGCAAAGGGCTGCTGAATGTGTATGAATGCATGCTGCTGGATCTGAACTCCAGCTCTGCCACTACCTCCAGTGTAAACAAAGTGCCATTCTCAACAGTATCAGCCAGCAGCTCCACAGACCAGAGACCTATGACACCAGCTGGGCATGCAGCTGAAAGAACCATCAGGAAATGGTATATTGCAGGACAAGACCATTCCTATAGGCATTCAAGGCATATATCCAACTGATTCCTCTGCAACCTCAGACAAATCAAACTGGGCTTCCATTTCTGGAAAAATTAACAGGCTTCTGCCCAGCTGGTATGCAGTAACAACTAGAAGATGTAATTAGAAGGTAGGGCTAGTGAGTCTCCAACACAAGCAGCTCTGAGAAACTGTGACCACTCAGGTACATAAACGAGTTGAGAGTAAAAAACCTTAGCATCTATTGTTAAAAATATACACAGGAACTACATCTGGCATAAAGGAACATGTTGCATTCAAATTGAAGCATTGATCTAGTAAAGGCTGGTGATTTGCTTCTGGAGCAATGACACAATCAGGAAACAGAGTTTTCTGAAGGAAGCTACCTGGACACAAGAAAGCTGAAGAAAGAAGAATGGTTAGCATACTGTGTCACCAGTTACTGTGTCAGCTCAGAATAAATTGCTGACTAAAGAGCTGAGGGAGCTTACAGGTCTGGGAGCTTGGGAAGGAGGATCTCTCCCCTGCAGGACAGCCAACCGGTCCTCCATTTCCTGCGTGGATGGAACAGGTCCACGGCCATCCTCCTTCAGGGCTGCCAGCCTGGCTTCAATCTCAGCCTGAGTAGGGATGGACTCTGCAATTCACATTAACCCAAGGGAGGAGATTATTCTGTTATTGAAAATGAAAAGCTGCACGTTTTCTTCCTTAAAACTGTATTTCTCTCTGGAATCAGACTCTGAGCACCTCAGAAAAAACCTAGCCCAGCCCTGACGTGAATGAGGGGTCATACTGCAGTGACTCAGAGACTACCCTGATGCCAACTGCTATCCCTTTCTTCCAAGTCCTTGCCTCCTTCACAGTTTATCTATATTAGGGTGATGTCATATGGAAATCAGCTGACTTGGGATTCTAGGGACAGGCAGAGAAATGAATGTCATTTATGCAATTCAGTCCATTGGTCCCACATCTTCTAATGCAATCCCAGCCTTATCAGACTGAAACTCTCCCCTGCCACTAACAGACAAGAGGCAATGGTTCAAGTTATTCCAGGGGAGTTTAGACTGGATATTAGGAAAAATTGCTTCACAGAAAGGGTTGTCAAGCACTGGAAAAGGCTGCCCAGGGAAGTGGCTGAGTTACTATCTTTGGAGGTATTCAAAAGATGTGTAGATGCGGCACTTTGGGATATGATTTAGTAGTGGACTTGGGAGTGCTGGGTTAACGGTTGGACTTGATGATTCCATGATAACCAGGTAACCACTCTGAAAAATGTTGTTCTTCTTTTAGAGACCACATATAACATTTAAAATAGTTTATTCTCATGCAAACACCTCAAAGCAGTCCAAGAACCTGACAGCTGTGGACTGGGATGAAAATCCTTTTCCTTCTCTGTGAGACAAGGCTGGTCAGAACATAGTCCCACAGAGGCTAGAACTGCTGTTGCCCAAGACAATGACTCACAGGAAGCCTGCTTCAAAATAGTTTGGCCAAAGACTTTAATTTCATTCTACTCCAAGTGGGTTTGACACAGGTTCTTACCCCAGAAAATGGAAAATGAGAAAGTGATTTTACAGGTAAGACACTGCTCCAAAACTGAGTAGTAGTTTCAAGAGAAACCCCAAGAAGCAAAATGAAACTGGAACATTGATCTAAAATCATTGTAGAAGTTGGCCATTGTGGCAGCAGAACTTGGATGCTGCTTGGATGCTCTGTCCTATTTTAAGCCTTCATCTTCCTAATATCACAGCCTCTTAAAGCCCAGCACTTCCCCGTCCCTCCAGGTTCCTTGTTTCCCAAATAGTAGTGTTTCTACCCAAGGTATTTATGGTATTCTCTAAAACTCACTTGGTTTCCTTTCCTCCCTGAGCCTCTCCAGTCTCTCTGCAATAGCTCTATCCTCTTTTGAGAGCCCCTGGTATCTGTAGCCTGCTTGACCTGGTGGTTTTGCAGCTGCCTTCCGCTGGTCTTTCAGCTGGTTTTGTTTAGCCTCAAAAGCTGCTACACGCCTGTGACAAGGATGGAAAAAAATACATGACAATTGAGAACAGGGGTTTTAACCTGGAGATAAGAAAACATCCTCTGTGAGCCCAACAGGCTATCTCAAGAATGCCAGTACAGAACACAAACGAAACCAATCTCCAATATCAGCACAATAAAGTACTCCTAAGAATAAGGAAAACATTAGCTGACAAGAAAAGCACACCTAGAAGCACTTCCCAGGAGACAAGGAACATTTCACCACAAGGTTCCTGTTCCCAAGCCAACACTGATCAGCCACATATAATTGCAGGCAGGTGTCTGTTCAGGAATCTATTCAAAAGTGCATACTCCCCACCCCTCCTAACAAACTAACAATCAAAACAGCAAAACAAAAGCTCCATCCTTAATCTAACTCTGAATAAGCAAATACCCACACTACAAGCCCCACTCTTGATGGTATCCACAGGAGAAGAGGAGGGCCTAAAAGGCTCATCTGCAGTAGAAAGAATGGCTTGGCAATTGCAACTCACTTTTTGTAGTTTTCTGGTGGTGACCATTTTGCTGAACTGCTTTGAGATCCTTCTCTGAAAGACAACAATGATTTCTCTGAACTCAAGATACTGATAATACTTGACAATACTGACAATCATCTAGTCTCTCAACTCAAGAGAAATCAATAGGTGTTCCTTGACCTCTTGGTATAGCCCCTTTCTTAACCTCATTAATACTGACAGGAATCAGCTTATGCAAGGGATTAAGATAATATAGCTGTCCAGGACAGTGGGAGCCTTCATCTCTGTCCTTTGGTCCAGTTGTTTTGCATTTAGACAGAATGTGATTTAATAGCAGTGATCCAAAGGAGGTGGGGCTGAAATACCCTTGCCTCCCACAAGGCTGCACCTCCCAGTCCAGAGATTAGGTAGGGAGTACTTAGGTAAGACTCCCAGTGTAATTAGCTTCCATGCAGCAGGACACTCTGGAAGGAGCTGGAGCATGCAACAAACACAGAATTATATAACATACAAGTAAAACAAAGTGCTAGGAAAATTATATAATAACATCTTCCAGGATACTTGAACACTGCACACCACAAACATGTATAACTCTTCCACTTTGCTGTGTTCAGGCTGAGGGACTAAACTAGACACTTATGTAAGATAGTTAGCATATTTTATTCGTTCTTAGAAATCACAGCTAAGGCTGATATAGTAATGACTGAATGCAACATTGTTAGAACACTTTCCGAAGTTCTAAGGCTTCGATTCTGAAAGCTATTTGCAACTAAGAACAACATATGCAGCTTACAGAACTGCAGCCTATGTGTATTACCTGCAGGATAGGACACCATCCAGAGGGACCTGCTCAAGAAGATTCCCTTGGGAATCTCATGAGGTTAAATGAGACAAAGTGTGAGGTATTCCACTTGGGCTGGGGCAACTCCTGGTATCAACACAGGCTGGGGGACAAAAAGATCAAGAGCAGCCCTGCCAAAAAGTACCTGAGAGTGCTGGTGGATGAGAGGCTGGACATGACCCAGCCATGTGCACTCACAGCCCAGAAAGCCAGCTGTGTCCTGGGCTGTATCCAAAGCAGCGTGGCAAGCAGGGGGGATTCTGCCCCTCTCTTCCTCTCTCATGGGACCCACCTGCAGTGCTGCATCCAGCTCTGTGTTCCCCAGCACAGGATTGACATGAACCTGTTGGAGCAAGTCCAGAGGAGGCCACCAAATTTATTAAAGGGATTAAGCATCTCTCCTATGAGGAAAGGCTGACAGAATGGGGATTATTCAGCCTGGAAAAGAGACAGCTCCAGGGTGACCTAACTGCAGCCTTCCAGTACCTGAAGGAAACTTCCAGGAAAGATGGAAAAGGACTTTTTTAGAAGAGCATGTAGTGACAGGATAAAGGGGAATGGTTTTAAACTGAAAGGGCACAGGTTTAGATTAGATACTAGAAAAAAATTCTTTACTTGGAGAGTGGTGAAACACTGGAACAGACTGCTCAGAGAAGCTGTGGATGCTCCATCCCTGGAAGTGCTCAAGGTCAGGTCAGGTGGAGCTCTAAGCAAACTGGTATAGTGGAAGGTGTCCCTGCCCACAGCATAGGGCTGGAAATAGATGATCCTTAAGGTCCCTTCCAGCCCAGGCCATTCTATGATTCTATAATCTACCTGCTATCCAGTCAGGGAAGATTGTTTTTCTGCTGTAGCTCTCTAGTGCTGATATTAAAACGATGAGAAAAAAAGACCCAGAAGAAACATCAAGACAGGTGGCCCTGTTTTCTTAATGGCTTTGAAGTTGTGAAGGGAAATCAGAAAATTTCCAAACTGGAAAGACAATACTATCTTCCCCTATTTTCAGCAGCCCATGAAGATGAAGACCTTCACTAATGAGGCTCTTCTCCTTTAGACACCTGCAGAGCCAGAAAATTCCTCCCTTGCTGGTAAAATTTCCTTGCAATAGGAGAAAAGTGAGGAAAAGGAACAAGAGAAATGCAAGAGAAAAAGGAGGACACAAGATTTGGTTGACAGAGGGATTCTGGTGTACACCTGTGTTCTTGTGTTTGTTTAAGTGTATAATCCTGCTGCTACTGAACTACATGTTTTGTTTTCAACAGGAAGTCTACTGGTTATGTTTGCAAATAATTTTGTTTTCTTTTAAAAGCAAAAATTTTATAAATTTTAGGCTACAAAACTTTATGTCTTCAGGCCACACATAGCAGAGATCCCTCAACAAGGATTTATGTCATTGCTTGCCCACAGAAGTAAAAACACTTTGAACATCTTATTGTCAGGCTACTCAACTATACACATCTGAGAAGACTGCCAGAACTGCTAAAGGGGTGTAGGTTTCTGGGCAAAAACATAGTGTGGCTTAACCTCAGCCCATCTAGTTAAGCTGTCCACAGGAATTCAGTGTCCATCCATGAAGATTTAAACCTGATGCTTTCAAACTACTTTGTCAACCATAGAGAACAGGCACTGATTCCTCTTTTAGGACTGCAGAGCTCATATAACAACAAGTTCAGAGATGTCCTGTCTTGGAATTCCGGGGTACAGGCAGCATCATGCAAATATGGAAGGCAGAGCTCTCCTGCAGAATTCTGCAACACCACATGGAACGTAAACTGAAGAAAAAAAAAAAAGCAGGAAACTGTTTTCGGGTGAAGAAACACTCCCGTCTTACCCAGTTAGTTTATCATGGCACTCCTTGCAGACTTTCTGCTGAGTGTTTCCACAGCGGGGAACAACAGCACTGAAGCTCCGGCAGCCCGAGCAGAAGGACCGTCCGCAGTTCTTGCAGCCACACTGCAGAGACAGGAGAGAGGGGCAGGACAGGGCTTCACCACCTCGCCACCACACCCCCCTGGCGGGCCGAGGCACACACAAAATAAACCTGGGCTTACGCTGATGTTTTTGTGACTGAACTGTTTCACCAGCTGCTGCTGAAGATACGGAGACTCAAGAGTCTCGGAGCACCAGCACACAACTCCTGCTGGGAGCTGAGTCACCACTTCACTCCACAGTATAACGAAGTGTGTGTATGAATTGTCTGAGACCATGACAGAATCCTGGATTAGAGGGATGGCATTCAATGACTTTTTTTTTTTTTTTCGCTCAGTAATTTCCTATATTTGGAGACATATCGGAACTAGGCACCACGAGAGCTCAGTAAGCAAGGACAACAGCGCCAGGATGCTGGCGGGGAAGCGTGTTCCCAGTTCCCTCCTCAGACCCTCGCACTGCGGGGGAAGCACCCGCGGGACCGGCCCACTCCTGACCCCCCGCAGCCGGACTTGCCTCTTTCTTGAAGACAGAGAACTTGGACGCGCACCCATAGCACCGGCTATCCATGGCGCTACGGCCCCGGCCCGCCCTCAGACACGGCGCTGCACCCTCGCTGTGCCAAGCTCCATGATCTCCCCGGTGCCGGTGCCGGTGCCGCCTCAGGCCCAAGGACCGGCGGCGAGCGGGGCTGTCACAAGCCGGGAGGCGCGAACATCACCCTCCCGTCCCCTCAGCACAGAGCTGGCGACGCACGGCCCTACGGGAGTTGTAGTCCCTTGCCCCGCTCATGCCGCCTTCAGACGCCAGGGGGCTCTCCGCGAATAAACTACACTGCCCAGGATTCCCCACGGCCCTAGCGCCGAGCCGGCTGGGCTACCATCGCCGCGCGATGCATTCTGGTACTTGCAGTCCGGTGCCGCTACCCGCCCACGCCGGAGGCGCCGTGTCCCGGAGGGCATCGGCTGTTCTTGGGTGTTAATAAGACAAAAAAGTGTATTCTCTAAGGCTGACAGTGTTGCCCTGAAGCTACTCTGGGTTTACGGGTTTTTTTGGGTGGTTTTTTTTTGTTTTTTTTTTCTGTTCTAAACCTGTGGTGAGATCCTGTCTCAGAAGAGCAAGAATCAGCTGAATTACAAAACTCCAATTACCCCCAGCCCATCCTTCTGCCAGTGTTGATCCGCCTGCCCTTAGGGGTAAATGTCCTGCGGTGTTTGTAAAAAGAGTCACGGAGTGCAAATGAGTCATCCTGTTAACAGCGTGGGTTTGCAGGTACACTGTGCATTCTTTCCAGTTTAATATGTAACCCCACGTTGTAAAAACGTACACAAATTAAGAAACGGACTGATTTATTCGAGGAAGTAAAACTCCTTAATATCTGAATAAAGATAAAATTAAAGGAAAAAAATGGGGGGGAGGGGGTTTTCTCTCAATCTTTCATTTTTGGCATTTGTGTGCTTTTTTGGTTAGGTTTTTTAATGGTAAAAAACATTAGAAAGCCAATTGGAAGCTAAACTTTGCATCTGTCTAGCAATTGTGTTGGAGACCACCTGGACATTTTAGATATTGTAGGCATAAAGCAAGGAATCGAGACAAATATAAACTCAAATAAAAGGCTTCATTGTCTTTGCTTTTGAGTGCTCTATGGCAAAACAGGGCCAGGAGACTTCAACCTTGATGTTACAGTGCAACCTACCGATTGACAGGTGGAATTTGGAGTGCAGCCCTTTAGGGGAAAATACAAGCAGCCACCCAAGGAAACCTTGCCAGCAGAGGTGCGCGGGGGGATCACGGCCGGGAAACTGAGGCTGCCTGCTGAGAAACGCCTGGGCTGCTCTGCCCATAGAGCTGGGAGCCGTGGCCGGGGCGGGAGGGGAGCCCTGTCTCTGTCACCTGTCTGCAGAAGAAGCGCTACACGCTCCCGTTCCCGTTCCCTGCAGGTGTCCGCCAGAGGGGGCCCGGCCCCCGCGGTTCTCCAGCTCCCGAGCCCAAGGCCATTTGGCAGCAGAGCAGCAGCAGCTTTCCTTTATTTCTCTTTTTTTGCCCCGCGGATGTTTCCCATGGTAAAGAGAACTCGAGTGTAAAATCCTACGTGACGACTTAGCCTATAACGTTTTCAATGTCTATTTGAAGTGCAGGAGGGTTTAAATGGGCTTTGGTTTGTATGTCTTCCTCTTGCTAAACTCAGTTGTGGCACAGCAAGTTGTACATTCTCCGTCCTACATAGTTATAGCTGTTCTGCTCTGGGGAGCTCCCACCTGGAGTGCTGCATCCAGGTCTGGAGTCCTCAGCACAGAAAAGACAAGGACCTGGTGGAGCACATCCAGAAGAGGGCCACAAAGACGATTAGGGAGCTGGAGCACCTTTCCTACAAGGACATGCAGAGGGAGTTGGGTCGAGTCGAGTCAAGAGACAAGAAGGCTCTGGGGAGACCTTATTGCAGCCTTTCAGTATTTACAGGGGCCTTATATGAGATGGGAACAAGAATTTTAGCAGGGCCTGTTGTGGTAGGACTAGGGACAATGGTTTTAAACTAAAGAGGGTTGATTTAGTCTAGATATAAAGATACATTTTTTTATGTGTGGGTGGTGAGGCATTGTAACAGGTTGCCCAGAGAGATGGTGGATATTCCACCTCTGGAAGCATTTAATGTCAGGTTGGATGGGGCTCTGAGCAACTTGGACTAGTTGAAGATGATTGTTTATTGTAGGGTTTTGGACTAGGTGACCTTTACGTGTCCCTTTCAACCCAAACTATTCTATGATTCAATAACCGGGGTTGTAGTCATGCAAGTGTCATCTCAACCACAGTTATTTGTTTATGTAAGGGAAATGTGTTTTAAATTAAACACAAAAATAGACCTATGAATAGTACATTTTTGTGTGCTTCTGTAATGTTTTATTCCAGGCTGTTTTTTCTCCTGCAGCAATAATTGACAGATCTCTGTTCCGGTTCTTACAGACTACAAAAAGCATACAACTCAAAGGCTCTGATTTGCCTCCCAGGTAGGAACCAGGACGGTCTCAAAGCAGGTAAAAAAAGGAATACTTGGACACAAACACTCCTATTTCTTACACACACAGAGGCTTGTGGAAGTGGGTCTCTCTTTAAAAACATCTGGTTTTGTATACAATTAAAGTAACCTGTTTGTGTCTTGAGTTATGTACATGTATGGGAATGCATATGTTCATCACTGCTAGACACCTCTGTGTTTTGAGGTTAAATCCTTACATCCCGGATTTCAAGAGTGTGTTAAGTGAGTGCTGAACTTTAATTAGAGCTTCTGAAAATCCTCCTATTGTGATATTTGAATCCTAAACTTTTGACTATACTGTCCCTTGTGTCTACTAGCTGGTTACTCTTCCTTCATATACTTCAGAACATAAGTCTGTTTATACATGGGCAATGTCCTACTTAAAACCATATTTCTAGGGACAAATTGCACGACCAGTATTCCTGTATGTGGTATATTGCTTTTGGAATATGCTGTTCATTCTTTTACCAAATATGGTTGAACATCTAAAACATTGCACGTATGTAGAGCTCCACATCAGACCAAGGGAAGGGAATCTAAAGTAATACTCAAGTTACAAAGCTGTTCAGCACTGTATGTTTAAAACAGGGACCTGTTCTACTTTGTTATACAGTGAGAGTTGTCATGGGGTTGTTACTTTTGCACCTCCATCAAAGTCCTCAGACTCAAAGAGAGGAATTAGCATTTTTTCAGTGTGAAGCCGAACTTAAAAATAGAAGTAGAGTTTAATTTTCTGTCATGCTGATGAAATGGTTACATTTTCCAAAAATATGCCAATCTAAATAGTGAGCCAAATTAAATGAAGAAATTCTTTTTATAGCCATAAGATTGGAGTTTGTAAGAAATAGAAATATTTCTTGCCTGCTGTGCATGCACTTTCCCACCATGATGCAAGCAAGCTTTAAACCCTGATGTCCAAAACTTATCAATTATCCTTCTTCTGTGGGTGAAAATTAACCAGTGCTTAAAAAGCAAAACCTTACAGTTCTTAAACCCCTGCCCCCCACTGCTACAAAGTCATCATAATTCAAAATTTTCTTGGCTGCACTAGGAAAGCAAATTGACAATTTCTACATGCTCTTCTTCACAAAGACATAATTTCAGCAAAATCTTTTATTATCCATTATGTTTTGGCATCTCCCAGTTTGGCACTAGCATTTAATTCTGAATACAGCAAATCAAGGCAAAGTGTTAGGTGTTTACAGTGGTGATTTCTTTCTCTACTCCAGTCATCTCCTTTGAGGAGGATTTCTCTCTACAAACAAGGTACTTCACATCTAAAATGCTCTCCAAAGAGAAAAGTCAATGGTCTTTGCATTAGGTTTTCAGGCCTCATTTTAAAAAAAAATATTTTGGTAACACCTTTATAGACAATTTCAATACCTGACTCAGGCCACAGCAAAGTGACAACAATAGGTGCTTCATTCCATTCCTTCTCCCTCACTGCTTGTTCCTGCCACTCTTTAGTTTCTTTAGTTAAATCTGTTCCCTGACCTGGTTCATCTCACAGAGGAGTAGTGCAAATCTTTGAGTTGAGGTACTGTATGTCATGCTGTTCCATGACACCACTTGTTTGGTGTCAAGTGGTGATTTCCAGGCTAAGCTCTGGTGCCTATATGAACTGTGTAAGTGATCTTGGCTTCAAAACATAAATAAATGTGTCTGAAGATTTTTCTGTATGCATGCTGGAATGCACATTAAGGTTGGGTGATAGCATTTGCCAGAATACAGGTTAAAGTTGCTATATAGCCATGTTCTGAAATTTTTTATGGGCACAGTTTCTACCACTAGAAGTCCTTGGACATCTGCTTACATAGTTTCAGCTCTGCTATTGTGTTTGACCATGCAACACCAGCAATGGGAATACTATAATAAAAAGCATACAGTCTCAGACAGAAGCATCCCATGGGCAGGAACATTTCTGTCCGTGATTCACCATGGAAATTAACTGTAGTTGTAAGACTATGAGGTCAAACTTCATGCTTGTTAAAGGTATCAGGCTATATTTTTTTTTCTGAAATTGGTGGCATCTTGACTTTTACCTGTGGCTAGCTGGACTCTTACTCTCATTCTGTGTTTTTCAAACCCCATCTGTATTGTACTTACCTAGCAAATGTATAACTCATCACAAATCCAGGCAACTCCCACACTAAATCACTGTGGAATTCAACCAGCACAAAGTTCCCAGTGGAAGTAAAGTCTGCAACCTTCTCTGTCCCACAATAAGGGCCAACTGCAGGTGATGTAGGGCGGCTTCCATCATGTATGAGCAAGTAGTCATAAATGCATTTGTCACTATACTCCAGCTCAAAGGATAATGTTTTGAGAGATATCTGGAGAAAATACAACCAAAGCACTTTGTTTCCAGGTTGC